ATACAATTTCCAATGTTAAAATAAAAATATCTGTTTAGGTAATGATGTCAATTATAAAAGATTAATAAAATTATACATACAGAATTATTTCATATGAACACGGTATACTTTGGTTACCCTGAACATTTTTCTTACAAAATTATTAGATGAAAAATTTAGTGAAATATAATGTAGAAAAATGTATTTTCAAATATAATTTAGAATTACAACTGTTTAATTTTAAAAAAATATGCAGTTTGAATGAGAAACGATTTAGCTAATTTATTTCATAGCTGTAAATTATAGCTTGTAATTAACACTGTAAATAATAGAATGTAAAAGTTATGTATTAACTTCAAAAATAAATAAAATCTAATAAAAAATCACGCTTTATAAAATGATAAGTATAATGTAATAACACTTCGATGATAACACTTAGGCGTGTAAACCGATTCAAGACAAATCAGTATGAGGTGTGTACAATTAAACAACAGGTCTGAGTGCATGGGCATTATGTCCACCTCACTAATAACTAAAACTAAACTAAAAATAAAAAATCACACATTTTTCAAAAAAATTAATAAACTTATTATGAAATCTATTGTATTTTTATATTTACAAAATATAATTAACAAAATAAGCATTTAAAATAAATTCTCATTCTGTCAATAATTTTTGGTCAAAACACGAACACTTAATTAGATTATCAAGATATATAAATTAAAAATCTCATTGATACTAAAATTTATATAAACAAATTGTTTAATTATTAATATAGAGATAACTATGTTTTAAGAGTAGTCATGCATATTTTTATAATGAATAATAAGAATAACATTAACAAAAAGTATAAGTCAACCTTGTAACCTTTGACTTTAATCAACATATTTATAAATAAATATTTTTATATTTTAAATTATCATTTAATTTTTAAAGTAACAGTTATATAAAGATGTTAAATTTTAATAAGACTAAATATTGTTTTAAGGTTTATTATTTAATTAGCTATATAAATATCACAATATTATTTTATTAAAATTTTTAGCCATTAGATTAAAAATTATTTAGAAACATTTCTGTGAATTTTTTTTTGATACATTAATTTTATAAATAAGAATTTTCTTTATAGTTAAACATAGATATTATTTCATTGGTTTGATATTATTTATAGAGAGTATCTTCGACATGAATAACAATGTTTATACCTTTTGATACAATTATTATTTTGTTGATTTTTTTTTTTTATTATTATTGTCTACGTAGACTATGTTTAAAGTATATTTATTTTTTGTGTATAAATGATAAAAAAATATCCATTTTTTAGCTCTTTTCCTACAATAATTTTTGATGAGTCGATATCAATTTTAGGACATATGTACTTATTGAGTTACATTCATTTTAAAAATCTGAGTGGGTATGGAACGCGGGTGGAGTATGCGTTATAAATATACACCAGTACGAGCTGTACCTACCCACGTTTCATACCGACTCAATGTATTAAATACTTTTAACTAAATGAGTGCTTGCTTTAAAACTATTATCGATCCAACACATTTTTTTGTAAGAAAAAGGCTACAAAAAAGATATTTTTCATTTTAATAAAAATACATTTTTTTCTTATCAGTGAAAAACAATAAATAAAATTGTTTTAAATGAAGTCTAACAAGGCCATAAGACAATCAATATATTTTATTTAACAAATATAACAATAAGAAGTGATCACTATTGCTAATATTATTTAATAGGAAAGTATATTAACTTTTTATTAGTTTTAAATTCATATTTCCAATTTTTAATTAAATTTTTCTTGAAAGTAAAACTTTAAACTTTATTCAAATTCATAAAAACTTTGTCAATTATTTGCACATCAAGCAGTTTTAATGATTTTTCGTTCTTTAATTCTATGAGTAATATTGTAACCGTGCACTTAAGTTATTGTTAGTCTATCATAATGGTATATTAATACACAATGTAAGTACTCAATTTCTTTGTCTTATATTAAAAGTAATGTATTTATTATTTAGGCTGCACAGTGGAAATTAAATAATTTTTCCATAAAAAAGCATGAAAAACCTTCATTATAAAAATCATCATGAAAGCTTGTAACCATGATTTATTTTTATAATTATATCAAGATGTTATCATGGACTAATAGATAATTTTTTTTTTATTAAGTCTACTTTAAATATGTAGCTGATTTTAGACTATTACCCGTTAAATTTATCAATGTACAAATAATATACAATTTATACTTAAATAACTACCAGTCTTTATAATTTAATAGATTATATAATTAATCTACCAAATTTGTAGGATTAATATATTTCTCATATTATGCTTATAATATTATAAATTGAATTATTATATATAAAGTTTCTAAAATATAAAATACAAATAATTCAAGTATTACAAAAATATCCAAACGGTATGTCAATGGTTGAAAGGAATCTTCCCTTTAATCCCCTACTTTTTGACCACTATTAGTCTGCACATGAATTAAACAATTTAAAAAAATAAAAATTTGATCTGATTATATACGTGTTCATGTAATATTACAAATATACTTAAGAAGAATATTTTAATTTTAATTAATTGTATTTTTTTATGAAGAGTTCTCTCTATATTAATTTTTTTTAATGATAAACATCCCTTTTTATTTAACTTTTACAAACACACACTACATTATGCACATATGCAGTGATGCCAAGGACATACATATTTTACTTGTGTAGCTAAATTAGAAATAAAAATATTTGTGATATAAAAATAAAAATTGATGGATTCTTAATGGATGTAAAATTTGTTTGTACATAAACGTTAATTTTTAACTTATGAAATATTAACTTTAATTCCGATTTAGAATGCAGGAGGGGAAGTTGTACCAATTAAAATTTTTGGCATAGTAATGTAATTAAAAAACAATGATAATAATTTTATATTGTGGCAAGGTCTTAAATTGTCGCAATTTTTGTCACACTTGACGAATCCCAATACGTTATAATCGAAATATAAATTTGTGTACATAAAATAATAACACTGTTTTTTATGTATGTTTAAGTATTTGACAGTTTTAATTAAATGGCATAAATGAAAAATTATGTAATTGCATATAAGTAATTTAATGGTTTTGTTTTGTAAACACATTAAAATGAAAAAATATCAAAATAAATAATTTCTATTAGATTAGAGCAAACAGTTCAATTTAAAAACGATCTTAAGTAGTTATTAAAAAATATTGTATTATATTCATTGAAAAAAATATTATCACGCCACATTTTTATTTTATTTTGCTAGAATCACTGTTAAATGTTAAAATGTTTAACATTTTATGAAACTAGCATCATAAATTTCAATTGTTCTACATAATAAAAACTAGAATAATTTTTATGAAGCTTAAAAATACCCTACCAAAAAATGTTATTTAAGAAAGCTTTTTCAAAGTTTAGATTAATATAATTATAAATAAAATGTTAATAATTTCAATTAAAACATTTTCATATAGAAAAAAACGCAAAAAAATTACTTAATTAATAGATAGGTAGTATTAATCTTATTACTTAGAGAAAATGCTCTATTTACACTATAATTAACGTTGTTTTCTATATGAATTTAATTCTACTGAATTTCTGTATGACTTAATTATTTAAATAAATTTAATAAATCTTAAAAAACGTACAATCAATTAAAAAATGTTTAAAATAATATTAAAAAATCAAATTCAAATTTAAACTAGATATAAGTTGTAGATAATTAAATATAGTTCATAATACAAATAAAACAAAATATGTCTTTCTATAAATAATTTTTTATTTAAAGTGAAATATTTGCCAATTAAGAAAAATAATTTGATATGCAATTTGTTAGCTCAGTAATTTTAGATACAAATAAAAATTTACAAAAGAATATTTTTGATAAGGTTAAGTAAAAATTATTGTAATTAGAGTAAATAAGCCATGTGTGATGAAAATAATTTTAATCAGACGAGGTCATGGTGACCCGTAGNAGCCATGTGTGATGAAAATAATTTTAATCAGACGAGGTCATGGTGACCCGTAGAAATAAATAAATATAAATAAATATCTCTCAAATAAATACATGAAAAGAATATATTATTAAAAAAACTGTGATATGAATGCTTAAATGAAAGAAAAAAAGAAAGGATTATTAATTCATAATAAAATTGGCAAAACAATAAGTTGCAATTATATTGGGAAATAACTATTTGAAAAATAAATAAATATTTAAAAAGAATACAGCTTTTCTTTCATTCAACTTAACTATAGTAAAGCTAAATGTAAAATTAAAGTTTTTTAATAAACCAATAATGATTTTCTTTCAATTGGTTTTTTGAATGATATTCAACTTTAAGTATTATACATCATTAAACATTGTAAACAAATAAAAAATAATAATTTTTAAAAACTTCTTTAGGGACGCATTAGTTATTATATTATAATATATATATTATTGTAATAAATATTAATGATAAATTAAAAGTTTTCGAAAATTTGATTTTTTTCAATTTTCAATACTTTACAAATAATGTTAAAAAAAAAAAAAAAAATAGTAACTATAGTAACATAAGTTTTTTGTCTTAGTTTAGCGAAGAAGTTACCATATATGTGGAAATAATAATATCATAAATTATATTTATTGTCTACCTAAAATGTTTTAAAATATATAATGCGTACAATATAAAAAAATACTGAAGACATGATTGTAAAGAATATGGAAGAAAATTTGTTGACAAATGTTTTTTTAGGTTTAAGAAATAAATATTTTAGTTCAGATATGGAAAATAACGAATTTTCTGTTGATATATTATCTAGCACTTCTACTTTAGCAAATAATATGAATCAAAACAAAAATGAACTTAGATTGAATAATGACAATTACAATTCAAATAAATTAGTTACTGATAATATAGAAAGTAATATAAATGAAAAAAAATTCAGCAATAAATCTAATTCAATAGAAGAAAAAAAAAATACTGTAAATCAAAAAGAAACGATATCGAAACGAAAAGTAAATAATACATCATTTAAACCTAATACAAATATATCAATGAAAAATGATGAAAAAATTATAAAATCAAACGATAAGATATTAAAATATCCAACTAATAACAAAATTTACAAAGAGGCTTCAAAAAAAAATCAATCCGAAAAGAATTTAAAACCTAAATCAAAATTAATTGTAAATAGAGACATAAAAAATATTCAAAAATCAAAATCAAGACACACTGGTTTGAAATCACGGTCATTATCTTCTCTGTCAATATTAACGTACACCAAAAAATTAATTAATAACATACAGTCTAAACAAGAAAGATTAATCGAACAAAAAAAAATAAAGTTATCTAAAGACAAAGAATTTCAAAATCAAATTCAAAATATTGGCATAAATAAAAAAAAACTGTATGATAAAACCAAAATTTTGAATGCAAAAAGTAATAGTGGAAAAAAATTAAGAAATAACAATATAGTGCCAAAAAAAGTAAATTCTAAAATAAATATAGAAACTTCACTAAAAATATCTAAATCACCTGAAAAAAAAGTGATACCTTTTGTAAAAAATGCATCAAAAACCGATAACATACTTTTGAACCAAACAGAGAAACCTATAAAATGTTCAAAAAGTAAAAAAACAGAAAAAATAACAAATTGTATATTCCCAAACGTAAAAAAATTAAATCAACCAAAAGAAAATAAAGACAAACATTCGTTTAGCCAAAAAATGACAAATGATACAAGTAACACTTGTATTAATATTAATAAATTTGAAAAAGTAAAATCAGAAATTAATGGTCATTATAAAAGCTCAGACTTATTGAGTTTTTTATCTGATATCGTAAAAGAATTAGTCAACAATATTCAGTATACCAATTCTGCTATTAATATAAATAAATACAAAACATCGATTAATCAATTTGACTGTTCTAACGAACAAAAAATTAATTACAAACAATTTAACTCGCATATAGAAACCAATAAATTGGTTGCGTTTCAAACTTCACTTAGTAATGAAATCAGTAATTTAAATAAGACATTTAAAGTTAGTGATTGTGATGATTTGTCTAAAATGTATGTTAATACACAGAAAAATTCTCAATTTGTAATGATAGATGTTAATGATGACACTAATAATTCAAATCATAGTGAAATTGAAGAAGAAAGCAAAAATTCTAACAAATCGATGTTTTCTCAGAAATTCAAAACGCTAACGAATTTTGCGACATCTAAAAATACAGAGAAGTTCACTACACATTCATCGCTTGACAATAAGTAAAAAAAATCTACCATAAATTATTTTTCTGAAAAATGTTTTCAATAATATTTATGTAATATTTGATTTTGGGATACTAAAGGCGAAGTAAACTAATTTTTAAATTTTAACGATAAAATCGTTTACAAATAAGCCAAATTAAATTAACTATTCATTTAATTTTAATATAACAGTTAAATTAATGATACCACAAAAGAATCATTTATTTATATAAGGATTTTAGTTGCACTTTTTTTGAAAATAAATATTTTTAATAAATGTTACTTAAATGTTTTGTTTATAAACAGTTCGATCAAAGAGATCAATCAAAAACCTCTGACAGAATCAATCATATTTTGCCATTCTTGTGGGTGTAAATATTTGATTACTTCAGCAAAATTTTGTTCAAATTGTGGAATACGTCGATGTATAGCTCCATAATTAATTTCCAATTGGATACGTCAAACAATATAGTAATATTTAAGATTTTTACATAAGAATTTTTTTTTTTTTAATTAAATAAGTTTATACAGAATATTAATCATAATAAACGAAGTGTATTTGTGTATTTTACTAATAATTTCAAATATTTTAACTATTTTATCATGCAAAAAAATATAAATAGTACTTCAATATAATAATATAACTTACTATTAAGTACTATGTATATATATATATACATAAATGTGTGTGTGTGTATATTTTTTTTACTCTTTTCTTAAATTTTGGCATAAATGATCATAGAAACAAATCGATTAAATTCTTTCGCAATAATTATATTTTACTAATTGATGTACTCATTCAATCATATCAAAATTTTCAAAATTAATTAACAGGTTAAGGACTTTAAGAACAATTAAATCCTTAATAAAGCCTTTTTAATTATTGGATAACATCATTGAAGCGTGTTAAAAGAGAGAATATTTTTTGTTAAGGACTGTCGTATAAGTTAGGTTTTTTGTAACCTTGAGCTTTAAATAACCTATTGAAACTGTGTACTCTATTGGTTAATATTTAAGTCCTTGAATCCTTGTTTGAACTTGCAATAATTTCTATATATGTGATACACAAATGAATAAATACCTAAATGTCTAAAATTATTGTTAACACTTAATGATTTTTTTAAGTTATCAATAGACACGTGCTAAACCATTATGATTTAATATTTTTCGTGTGAATTAACAGTATAAGAGAAGTTTTACACAAAAGATTAAAAAAAAAAAAAATAAGACTTTACGTCATCAGTTCTACTGTCGCATCGATAGAAATAGCGAATTCATTTGAAGGTCATAGTTGTTATTTTGAACCCTACAGGAAATAATTTATCACATAATATCGTGCACATTTACAATGCAGCGCATAATACGTTAGACCGTGCAATACGAAATTATAAATGACATGATGGTCCTTGATTTTTCGTACTTGGATACTTTTGCCGATGATATATGATGAAACACATGTAAACGATCGGGATCATCATACGATAAAAGTTTACTTCTATTACGAACTTGGTAAGCCAAGTTTTTTAATTGATACTTCTCAACTAACGATATATAGTTAATGTTAATTTTTAATTATTTATTAAACTGAATAAAGTAATTAACTTTTTGAATTTTAATCAGTAGGGTGATAAACTCAAAAAAAGACAAGAATTTGGCATGTAATTGCTGTTGAATTGACTTCAAAGCTGAAAATATATCAGTTGAAAATCGTTTTTTCTAAATCGAAATTTTAAGTATATTAGTTATCTTAAACTTAATAATATGCATAATTTTAAAAAACTATACGATTAAAGGGAAATTATTTTTAAAGAAATAAAATTACTGATAGCAATAGTGGTTAAGACAGAGACATTCTAAAAAGTTTTTATGTCATACACAAAAAAATACATAAAAGATTGACGAAATTAATATTAAGATAACTGTAGGAATTTATGAGTAAAATATTAACAATATTTGTTAAATCAAAATATTTATTTTCATTAATATAATTATAAGAAAATTCATGTATTTATATGAGTATAAACATTTATTTAAAACATCAAATAAGTTCATATGCACAAAACTTTGGGTACACCATTGTAAACAATTTATAGTAAATATTTGAATAATAAAATTAAAAAAAAAATCATAATTATAGTTTGTAGATTTAAAAATAAATAAGTTATTTTTCGTTTTTTATGTGTTCATTTGACTTTGAAGTATTTGGCCAACTGACAAAAAATCCACTGGCAAGACAATTAAACAAAAATACCCGTATATCTATTATCGTTTTAATATTCTGAATTAAAATTTTTTATTTCGAAAAAAAGGTAAATTTCGAAGAATCATGAACATTTTCATTTAAATAAAATTTTTATTTGAATATGTACTAATTGTGAAATAAAGATAATTAACAAAAGAAACATACATCGCAATGATGTTTTCAATTTAAAAGAATTTTTATATTTTTTAAAATTTTTATTTTATGGATAATTAAGTATTATTTATGGGCATTAATAAAAGTCCATTAAAAAACAAGGGTAACCAGGGTTATAATTTATTATTAATTGCTTGAAAATCAAATAACTATTAAAAAATATTGTTTTAAAGTTAAATTCCAACTATAATTTAGTGTGCAGTTGTACATTGATTCTGCGATTGGGAAAACTTTAGTGTGGTTAAGAGAAAAATTTTCTCTTAAAAATTTACTAATCATTTTAATAAATTATTTCCATAAATTTATTATAATTTAATGAATACTAATATGAGAATCAAAATAGTTAAATTTTTAATTAACTCTTAGGTTTATTGGATAGCTTAATTAATTTTTTAATATGTAGAATGTTCAAAAAGTAGGGAAACTGGTCAATTGTTACAAATAATGAGAACAATAGAAATCCATTTCCTTACATACTGAACACTATATATTTTCTGTTCTTTTTTAATAACAAACAGCTTAAAGCTTAAAAGCTTAAAAACAATTATTGTAGAACAGAATACCAGATAATTAAAATCAGGGTGGGTGAATCAAAGCTTCCACGTTAGTCATTTTTTTTTTTTTAATAATTGAGGAATCATAAGCCTTTGTTTATTTTAGAATTTTAATCGCGTAGGTGAGAACAATTTTTACATTATATTCTGGTTAAATTTTGTTAAACTGAGGTTTACCCTTTATAATTTCCGTTTGATGATCACTATTTTCATAGTTAAATTTTAGACTTTCATATTTTAATTACGGACAAATGTAATAAACAGTAATATTATGGATATTTTAGCTGTTTTATTTATAAATATCATTTTTCACACGAGTTTGGTGTAATTCTTAACTCTGTTATAGTTTGTTATGATGTGCAAAATGTCAATTACTCTTCACCTGACCTGTTGTTATTTATTTATTGTTAACTCTGATGTTTTACATTACAGATTCATTCGATTAACCTTCATAAATTTAACAATTGTTACTCTATCATGCTGAGCTATAAATAAACTGCGCGAGATTAAAAGGGATTAAAAAAGGGTCCAGTATATAAAAGGAAAGGTCGCAGACATAAAATGTGTTTGTCATTAACTAATCACACAAAATTACTTGATGTAGTATCACGTTAATATCACAACCAATTTATTATTTTTTAATAAAATTATAAAACTACATTTAAATGTTGAAATTTATAATGAAAATTAGACATACGTAATGCAAATTATGGTCATGGAACCAGATGATACAGTTTATATATAATTAAGGAAAAGACAATTCAGTTGTCTATTTTCTACTTGAATTAATGTCATTAATACACCAAATTTTAAAATACCATCACAATGTTTTTGCGTTACGCAAATCATATTTGAATATTGTTAATGCAATGGTGTTATAAACTGCTTTTAAAGGTAAGTCCAGTAAGATAGAGGGTTAGGTTAAGGTTTTCTGTATGAAGGAAAGTCGATATGTCAATATTGCTCATATTAAGTAGTATAATATAGTATATATAGTAGTCATAATTTATCTGCTATAAAATAATTTGTAGGTTCATCCCTTATATCTTTTAAGGGTGTGAACTTTATTTTTTTTAATGGCAACATACATCTTCTTTTTCCTCTTCTTAATTCCAACTACTTGAGGTCGGCCACCCTTATCCTAAACTTCCACATCCTCTACGCTCACATAAGCTGTCCTCATATCGCACATACATATCTTATAAAATAGAAAATTATCTAATTAAGAAAATTACTAGTCGATAGCAAATTTTGGACTAGTATTTCAGAAGTTATTAACAATTTAAAGTAATGATTGAAGGTGAGTAGTGGTACTGCTATTTTTGTCACTAGTCATTTCCTGGTCGTACCCTAACTTCCGTCTAGGGAAATAAGAATAACTTCTAAATTACTGGTCCATAGTTATTATCGACCAGTCAATTTCTATTTTATAAGCTATGTATGTTGCCATTTAAAAAAATAAAGTTCTTACTCTTATAAGATATAAAGGAAAAACCTAAAAATCATTTTATAATAGATAAATGAAAATACATAGGTAACTAACAAAAAACGAAAAATAAAATGTTTAAAAAAGTTTATTTTAAAACAAATTGAGTGGCTAACGTTAAAGAAATCACTTTGTATAAACTTATGAGTTTTTTAACTTCAAAGAGCTCTGACTAGTATTTCAAATTTTAAAAAATTTTAACAAAAATTATATAACTTTTACTTACATTGCATTTTTTAATTTCATATAAATCAAATGACTCATGGTCGAGTTTGACTAAAATGATATGTGTATTGTAGTATCCTGTTAAGTATAGTTGTGTTGCAGAGAATTTTCAATGAACTATTTAATGACTTCATTGACCAAAAATCCTAAGAAACATTTAAGCAAAATTTTTAAATACATTAAATATGTCATAAGTAAAAATGAATTATTAAGTGAAAGTGGAATTTTATAAATAGTAGTATTATTATTAAAAAAATTTTCCATTTCAATCGAATATATGACCATACTAATCACGTTACCCAGATTTAAAATTTGTCTACAGTAATTATTTGTTGATTCAAAAAATTTCCTTGAATAATAAAAATTATTTTTCGGGGTAGATTTGAGGTGTAACTTTTAAACGTAAAACTGGAAACTAATTTATGTATATTATCAGTTGGAGATTTTACAAAATAATTTTAATACGTTATAGTAGTATCCGCAACTTAAGGTACAATATATGCAAATGTATTATTAATTAATAATTCGTTAATCTATATAATTTATTTACTTCCATTAAAGTTTATGGTAAAATATTTTATTGTTCTAGGAAACAGGCCTTTCGTCCTCTTCAAAATACCAAGAAATTTAGTTTTTAACCAAATAAATTTTAAAAAGTAGCCGCCTGTTTTTAAAAATCGTGTTTTTAATTTTCAATTATCTACTATAAGATTCATTAAGAAAACTAAAATTTTCTTTTTAGAACCTTCAAAAGTATTATAAAACATTTCAAACATAAAACTACTCAAAACTAGCGCCGTTAATATAATTGAAACAATTTTTCATTAAAAACACGCACATAAAAAAACAGGGGATTCCAAACCCTGCGTGGATTAATATCGAACAGTGATAATCATTACTATCATAAATTGCTTAAATGCAGAAATAGCAAATAAATATTGCTAAAATTTTTTGGCGAGCAACATTTTTATGAATTTTTAATTAAAAGGTCAATTACTCATAAAAGACAAATCGTTTGGACAATATATAATTTAACTTCGATGCGTTGTTGAAAAGCTAATTGGTTTTACTTTGACTTGTTTTTTTTCGGTATTCAGTACACTCCATTACTCTCATTCCTATTAATTCACTTTTGTGCAATGACACGACAAAACATCACAAAACGTGTTTACTTGAAGCTATCAGTGCAATAATTTATAATAATTTTCAGTCCTAGTATAAAAAGTAATGTCCAAAATTTACTGTTGTTTTATAGTATTTTGTAGTAGTAATAAAATATTTACATAATTTAAAATTATTTCAAATTAAAACTTGTTTAATGTAATATATGATTAAAATACAAAAACGATCCTGTGACTTATCATCTGTTAGTAATCAACCTCTAAAATAAAAAAACTATGTAATTTTTGGTAGATGTAATAACATTTTTTTTTATGTTTTAAATACTCATTGAAGCGTTTTACGACAATTATTTTTAGTACTTAAACTCCACTTTACTCTGATTCCAGATCTGTATTTAAGGGTTGATTCGGAGATACGATAACCCCTTCAAATATTTTTAAGGGTGAATTTCAATATTAATGAACAAAATCCACAAATATTGTCAACATTCGGTTTGAAAAAATGTTTATTCTAATATGGATAGTTGTGATTTATACATTTTTTATGTTTTTTATTTATAACCTTATTTTTGTGGCTCATAATATTATCTAAATGGAGTCTCAAAATCCATGTAGAAACCCACGATTAACTCTTAAATACAGCCATACTGGATCCCTAAGGTACTTTACTTTTATTTTATTATTTTTATATTATAGTATATTTTAAAAGTTTTGCGTTATGTATGCTTAAAATACAGTCGTTCGAAACAATTTCAAAACTGAAAACGTTTTATTAAATACTTGGGCATTTACCCCTCTTTAAATTTCAGTACTTATCGGAGTCGCACAGTGTTCTAAAATACAATTTAAACAGGAAAATATAATGTAAGTTAAAATTTCTGCTTTAGAAAAAAGTATGATAAAAATGTTGTTGAGATTGCTAAATTTCCCCTAAAAAGAGGAAAAAAATAAATTATAGGGGTCTTTTATTAATTTTAGTCAACTTTTGTTTTAATACATAAAAAAATATATTTTTTTATTTTATTATAAACTCTATTCTTCAAATTAGCACAAACATTAAAAAATTATATTAAAATTGTAAAAGAAAAAAAAGAAAACTCATATAGCCATTTTTTGTAAATGGCTTTTTAGCTTTGATGTGAATTTGAGAAGGTATTAATTTTAATGTGATGTGTTATTTTTTTTGTGTGTTACCACTTTTTCTCAGCTCTCTCCGAACCGATTCCTTTCAGCAATACACCAAAAGATAACAAATCGCATCTAATCGAAGATATTACTCTCAAAAATTGAAAAAATTTCCCTCGTTCTCCGTAAGAAGGGGAAATCTCCAAATAAATCGGTTATTTTCAACATTTTTTCATTTTTTTTTTTTTACTTAAAACTGCTATAACTTTTTGAAAAATGCATGGATCAATACAATTTTTTTTGAAATAGATACATTAAATATTTAACTATCATTTTGTATATTTTTTTTGTAAATCTTACTTACCCATAGTGGGGGATTCAAAATAATAACTTATCACAAAAAATTAACTTTTTGAACTTAACTTTTGAAAGTGTTCAGGAAATACTGACACTTTTATATATATCTTAAATTAAAACTTATGTAATAGACTTTATTATAGAAAAAATTTTTTTGTCTTCATTGTGAAAATGGCTACTGTATTCTAAAATTAGTTATTTTTGTGTAAAAATTCAAGATTTTGTATTTTCTTTTATTTAAAAATACCTTACAAAGGTTTTTGAGTTCAAAAAAAATGTTTAACTCATTTAAATTCAATAACTTCTTTGTAGTTATTATTTTTTTAACTTTGTGTATGTGGTACAACCACTGTATATAATAATATACCAGTGTATATTATTCCAAATTTTTTTGGTATAATGTTGCTTTATAAATTATTTTTTTTATTAAAATGATTTTTAGTTTCACCTGAATTTAACAATTAATTTTTTCAATTATAATCAAATTTTATAATTGAGTAGATGATTTTAACAATTTTTTCGTTGCTGTTTTTATTTAAAGTAAATTCTTAAAATTGATTAAGTACTAAATATTTTAACTGTAGAATATTTTCAAACTCCAAAAGTTATTTAAAAAAGATTACTATGATTTATATGTAAGTTATCTATTACGATAAAAATGCAAAAAAATATTGATATTTTCTGATAAATTTACAGTAAATAGTAATTATAAAATTGCCTGACTGCATATTAATTTTAACAATACCATTTTTTTAATTCTCGTAAAATTTTCTATTTAATGATGTCAATTTCAAACTTCCAAGTTGAGCTAAAAATTATAATAACAAATACAACTTTTTTTTTATTATTAACTTTCAAAAAATTAATTTAAAAAAACCAAAAAAATAGATTAAAAATGATGATTTTCACTGATTATTTTTAATATTTTAAAAATCAAAATCTGTAATAATTTAAAAACAATTTTCTTTTTGTTTTTAATTATTTTAGTTTCATAGCTTAAGGTATTAATTTTACCATGATTTGTTTATATTTATTTTTTCGTTTATGTCACTACTTTTTCTCAACGATATTACCCTCAAAAATCGAAAAAATTTCCCTCGTTCCCCGTAAATGGGGGAAACCTCCAACAAAATTACAAATTTTAAAATCGCTAATTTTCGAAATTTTTTCAATTTTTTTAAATTAAAACTGCTATAAGTTTCTTAAAAATGAACACATAAATATTATTTTTTTTTTATAGATGCTTGATGTCTTTACCTATCATTTGGTATATATTTTTTTGTAAATCTAACCCTTTACCTACCCACAGGAGGGGATTTCAAATGACAACTTTTTCACAAAAAATTAACTTTTTCAATTTAACTTTTGAAAGTTTTCCGAAAAATACAATTTTTTCATAAGTAGTATTTATATACATCTTTCATTCGATATACATCTTTCATTCGATATACTTTTTTTTTAAATCGGACAATTTCCCTATTTGCGGGGAAGGGTCAAATCTGAAATATGCATACAGAAAGTAGAACTTTTTAAGTATAGTTGCAGCCACCGACTAGCAACCACCTCTCTGAAAATGGACTCTGCAATGATTCCGAAACGTCAGAACTCAACTGCAAATATGGATATATCCTCAAGCACTTCAAGCAGCAAAAACTTTTTAACTTTTGAAATTGTTCCGGAAAGTCTGACACTTATATATATATATATCTTAAATTAATGCTAATGTAATATACTTTATTATGGAAAAAAAAAAATTTCGAGCTGTATTTTGTCTTCACGATGAAAACGGCTACCAAATTCTACTATTGTGTGAAAATTCTCGATTATATTTTACATTTTTACTTTAAAATGTTATACCTTTTTAAAAAATGTATGGATCAATACAATTTTTTCATGAGAAGTAGTATTTATATACACCTATCATTCGACATACTTTATCTTAATCAGGATATTAATAAGAAAATAGCAGATCATGTAGCTTTTGGAATAATCCACCAATTTTTTAAAATTAAACACTATCTAAAGATTTGCATCGAAGCGTTTTTTTTTATAGTGATTTTAATCACTGTTAGAGATCATTATACTGAATCCAACTATGCCACGTCACCAATGTGCCACGACCCCCTGTGCTGGGTTTTTTAAAAATGAACGAATAAAAATATTTTTTTTTTTATATTGAAACATTAGATATTTCCTTTTCATTTGATATGAATTTTTTGAAAATCTGACACTTAACTTGTCCACAGAGGGGGATTCAAAATATTAATTTCTGAACAAAAATTTAACTTATTTAATTAACTAATTTAACCTATTTTTAATGTGCAAATGGCTGCCGTAGTTAAAAAACACGCTGTTTTTGTGTTCAAATTTTATTATTTTTTGTTTATTTTAAAATACCTTATAAGGGTTTGTCATAGTAATGAGTCCACCAATTTTATAAAATTAATACAAATCTATCTTACATTAAATATAAATTTAAATTTATTTTGATTATTTTGCCTCTTCAAAGTTTAGAAATAAANCCGACGATCTATCTTCTATACGCAAATGGCTACCATATTGAAAAATATACTATTTTTGTATGATAATTATGGGTTTTGTATTTTATTTTAATAGAAGTTGATGTTGCTTTTGCAATTATCCATCAATTTTTTAAAATTAAACACTATCTACAGATTTGCATCGAAGCGTTTCTTATGATAGTGATTTTAATCACTGTCAGATTAAATCTATACTGGACCCTACTATGCAATGTCTCCACTATGCCGCGACCTTACTGTGCTACCGTTTATTTTGATTATTTTGCCTCTTCAAAGTTTAGAAATAAAGCTATTTTGAATTTTTGAACTAGTTTAAATTGTTATTTTCAGCTACAATTCATATAATGCACGGTGGTTGCGTCGAATATAATAGTCTTACATGCTCGGAGTTCGAGTTTCCAAACTCCATCCATCGAAAAAACTGTTTTGTTTTTTTTATAATTCTTTTTAAGGTGGAAATAAAATTCAAAGGTTATTTTAATATTATTCATATTTATGTTTCAAGTGAACGTCTAATAATAATCCTGGTATCTTGTATGTAGTATGCTCAAAGAATAAGGTAAATTTGTAACTTATTTGGAAATTTTAACCATTTACAGAAACAAAGTAAATTTTTTTCAATTTTGGAGGGTAATATCTTTGATTAGATACGATTTGTGATCTTTTGACATATTGTTCATCAAAATTTGTCCAGTGAGAGCTGAAAATAGGTGGAAACAGACACAAAAAAAAAACATCATAGTACAATCAATACCTTCTCAGCTTTGTATAGATACTAATAAAAACTATGATTTTCACTGGAGTTTTATAATTTTTTAAAATAGGAAAATATGAGGCTATATAATTTTAGCAGGAGAACCATTAAATGGCAAATATGCACTTAAAATAACTACTATTGATTAATATCTGACATTGATTAAAAATTACTGTTGTAAAACTCAGCAATATATATTTAAAACATAGCAAAAAAAAATTTGACATATCTTTAGACAAGTCAAATTTTATACACCCTTCCTATGTTGATGCATAAATTATATTTATTGATATTTCTTCATTATATTCTTATAATATAATTATTTACCAAATATATAAATCTTTTGATTGACTGTAATTTGAAAAGTGTCAGTTGTTCCAACTACTCTGCATCTCCAATGTGCTAGGTTTTTTTGATAGTTGTGTTTTACTCTTTTGTTAATGAATATTTTGAACATTAATTTAATATAAGTAAGTTTTTCTTTTATATTAAAATACATTGAATTATCTTTAATTTGATGTAGGTGCAAAGAACGAAAGTTTTTAAAGCATTATAAAAAATAGATAAGAAAAATATCTTAATATGATTTTAATCCCCCAGTCTTAGGTTGATGGTTGAAATTAAAAAATAGCATGCTGACAGCAAGGCAAATTTTTGAAGTATTGTCAATAAAAATTTGACAATAATCACTTTAGTTTTCAAAAATTTATTTCAATATAAAGAGGAAAACTAAATATATCAACATTGACTGTTTTATAACAACTAAATTTTTGGTACATTTCTTTTTATACTCGAACTGAGAATTATTTAAAATGATTGCACTGATAGCTTCAAGTAAACATGTTGCACAAAATGGTCCAATAAAATGGAAGTAATAGTTTACTAGATACCGGAAAAAACAAGGCAAAGTAAAACCTATAGCTTCTTAGCAACATGTCAAAGCTAAAATTGTTAGCTTTAAGAACAATAAAACAACTCTACTTTTAATGTAACTAAATTTATCCAAAAATGTATCAAATTAAAATTTAAAAAGTTCATAGTACACCAAAATATCAAATTGAGGAAGAAATATTTAAAATTAGACAAATAAAATATTTAATATGGATAAGTAGGATTTATATAATTTAATTTGGAAAAAAATAATATTACTAATAAAAAAATAAATTATTTGTTAAGTGTTTTTTTTTTTAATAGATAAAAGTTGGTTACTATGCCTTAAACAATATCAACACAAGAACAAAAAAGGCTAGAGTCGTTTGAAATGTGATACTATAGAAGAATGTTAAGAATAAGTTGGATGGACAGAGTAACCAATGTAGAGGGAGGTACTGGAAAGAATAACAGAAGGAAAGAAGTTATTATGGAATAATATAGTTAGGAGACGAAATTAATGGATAGGCGACATAATGCAATACGAAGGATTGTTAAAACTGATTATAGAAGGAAGTGTAGAGGGGAAGAATCATAGGGGAAGACCAAGATTGGAATATATTCAACAGATAATAAAAGACTAAGGATGAAACTCATATGTAGAAATGAAAAGGAAAGCAGATAATAGAGAAGAACGGAAGATGGCTACAAACCAAAAAGTTAACATATATTTTTAACAAGCTTAAAAATAAGAAAATGACCGAAAATTGAAACTTTTTAGGTTAATTTATTAGATATCTATTAATTGATAATAAATATATAACAAATACACTAATAATTTTAAATATAACTGTGGTACCCAAAATATCAAATTCACAATATAATTTTTTAGTTAAAATTATGAAACATAATAGTTTTAATTAAATTATAATTTATAACAAAAATAGATCTACTTTATTTTCTTAAGAATACATAAAATTTATAAATGTAGATTAATGAATCTTAATCATTTAAAATTTTATAAAAACTAATTAAATACACTGTATCTTAATTGTAAAATTGAACCTCGAAGAAGAAAAGTTAAGAAACATAATTTAATAAAATAGGACTTAGATTAAATTTTTTATTGGAAAGGAATATTTGAATATATTAGAAAAGATCTACTATATGAACAGATCTACTATTATTATTAAGCGTCTTTATAATAGTATATTATTATTAGGTTTATTAAAATGTAAATTAGAATGATAAATAACAACCAGCAGGTATTTTTGTAAGAAGAGAATTATGAAATTACACTTCCCATTTTCTAAATAACTAGTCAACACCAGGTTTAAAAGGAAGAAACCTTTTTTATTTATAGTTACCAGTTTAATAGACTTTCAATGGTCAGAACATTGAAAAATAGATGACTGGATAACTGTACCTGTTATGGTGATGACATTAAGCAGCTAGAGAAGTCAAACCTTTGTTCCAAACTCCAAAAAACGTTTACAAGTTGAAAATTACACAGCAGCTGTTACTAACAAAAACTTTTCGCCGTAGCCAAGCACGCGAATAACTGAGCTAACATTGCAGTGCCAAAAGTGTCAAATAAGGGTTGAAAACAGAGTGGGCGATAGTCGCCAGCCCACAAAACGCAAGGTACTGTAAGGTAAGGGCGGGGTGTAAATTGTATGCGTCAGACGGAGGAAGTCGTTTTACTGATGGTATTGGAGAGGCCAAGGTTAAAATTTCGCACATGTGCAAAGAACCAAACTGTGGAAAATTTATTTTATAATAACCTTATTCTTGGAAGACGACGTTTTTTAATATGACAAAAGTATCTAACGTATTATCACCACAGTTATTTGGGTCTGTATAATCAGACTTATCACTAATAACACAGAAAATATAAATCATTATCTTATCAAATGTTATCATTTATGGTATCAACTGAAATCATCAAAGACATTATAATATGCTATATTTCTTTAAATTAAGTTTATAACTAAATAACTGAATAATAATAGTAATAATATTATATTTATAAATGGTAAACACAGGGCTTAAAGTAGGTAGACTCAGTCTCACCACCTAAGATAGTACTTAAAAAACACACATTAAAAAAAAAATTTAAGTAATACCCTTAAATGCTCAATTTTTAGTCAAAATTACCCGTATTTTCTGTTAAAATTGGCATTTTGTAAAAATAAACTATAGTAACAGCAACTATCTTTTTACAAAACATTTACCTTGCATAATTTAATAACTATAATAATATAAACATAGACAAATATGGTTTATAAAAAAATATTGTTTTATAAGTGTAATAATCAGTACTCATGAATCATTTGTTTTTTCACCTGACAACATTTAAGGATTAAAACATAGTTATGAATTCAGTAAGAAAGGGAGGTCGTGGTGATAGATAAGATCACCGAATTTCTACAGAATCCCTAATTATAAGAGATAAAATGTAGAATTTCTTACCAATATGAAACACAATAGTCTCTCATTTTATTAATGTAAATGATTATTATGACCATCAATCAGTAATATTGTAGAAATATTTATTATTTTTAATAAATGTTGTATAACAGAACATTTTGGTTCTCGAATGTATACAAAGTAGAAACAAAAATTAGAAAGGTTGATTATATATATTTTTTTATTCTTCTTGAATTAGTAAACTCATCATCATCTATTAAAGGTAATACCTTGTCGTTGAAGCCACTCCTATGTTTGACGCCAAATTCTTCAGTGTAACAAAAGATGCACAGTTCATGAGTTCCAGGATATTTTCAAAATATTGTTTCCTTGGGCATCCTCTTGGTATCTTCCCAGTTATTTTTCCTTCGAAGATATTGATTATAAAGTCATTGTGTCGGATGATGTGTCCGAGTAAATTTATTTACATTATTCACCTTCATAATATGTCTTTCATCTCGTACTTCTAGCTAGTAACTAGTAGACTGAGTCTCCTTATTTCACTAAAACACGTCAAAAAAACATGTCACTGAAAACTAGTTCCAATTTTTTTTAGTGTGCTTTAACGTAATCGCCTATACTATAGGCCCTATAGCCTTGGGTATAGGCATTAAAATTGTCAAAACTATTACACGGTAAGATGGTGAAGTTAAGTATCTACGATTTTTCCAAACTTCTGTAAATATATATAAAATTGAAATTTGCATGGGGATTATATCAATATCTAGCCTAACATCAAACATTTTATCAATCGTCTCTTTTATTTTCTAAAGGGCAAGTTTTCCTGAAAATTATTTTTTTTTTTATCTTTCTCCAGCTATAAGATAACATGAATAAAATTATTGTAAAACTTTGTAACCAAACTATTTTAAAAAAATGAATGTTTTACAAGTATATTTATCATTATCATAAGCTATTCGGTAGTACTTTTAGCATATTTGAATGAAAAATCTAATACATTTTAGTTAGCATTATACCTTTAACTAAATGTTTAGTGTTCAAAACTTTCATCAACCCATGCTAAATTTGAATTTCTAACTATAACTAAAATTAACTTAACCGCATGTGTTTATATTACGGAGTACCACATAAAGATTTTAAGTTGTGATAGTATATCCTATCATATATAGCAACTGCTAAATGCGATTGATTTTGAGAACTGAAATTCGTTACCTCACATCGTCTTAACGTATACTTAAAGCAGCGCCTCGCGAATGACTATTTACTACAATTACTAATTTCTTAAAACAAAAAAAAAATGTGTTGATCGTACCTTTATTTTTTTGCAATATAAATTTAAAAAAATGAGCGAACATTATTTTATAAACCCACATTAAGCTAAAATGCAATCACACTATAGTCTTAAGAGAAAAACAATATTTTTTGAATTATAAAGCTTGCAAAGCTTCAATTTCCATTAATTATCTTAATTTTACTATTCTATCACCAGAAGGATTTCAGTGTTAACACTTGGATCCCTTTTCAAATAATTATTTAAAATTGTATAAAACAGTTAATGCTACATTTAATAAAAGTTCTTTCTTTTAAAAAAAAGTTTAAAATTAAAATTAAAATATATTATAATTCAAAATTACAAAATGATTAAATTTAAATTAGATTTGGTTGTTTTAAAATTAATTGGTAACTACTAGTTTTAGAATTGCTCAATCATTAAGTTACAATATGATAAAAAACGTTAACTAATTTATAAAAAATCACAAACATAAAATATAACATTAAAAAATAATAAATATTGTAATATATATATAAAATTGTTTTATCATGTGCTAGTTAATATGTAAACAAATATGTTACTTATTAATTTTAAATTATATTTTGATTTATATTATATTAAGAGTCTTTCTAATCTCAATATTATTAAAATCATTTCTTATGTTCCAAAAAAACTCATAAAAATCATATTCACAAATATTTACCCAAAATTGTCATATCTCTATACTAAATATAGTCTTAATAGGATAGTATAAATTATAATGAAAATTTTAAATGTTCTTGTAAAGTGTCATCTAAATAAAGATTTTCTCTTTATTAAAAAAATTTTTATATCCTTACATAACGTAACACATAGGCAAAATCAATTTTAGCAAGATTTCTTGGATCACAATTTAAAGATTTACGATACATTAAAATAACACACAACAGAATACATAGTACATTTTTAATAGACCAACAATTAAAACATCATTAACAACTTAAATTACAAAACATATTAACACCATTATACATTAATGACATATATAGTTACAAATACAAGCAAATAACTATGGTTAAACTAGTTATTTTATTGTTTATAGTATTTATATTAATTTTTATTCAGAGAGGAACTCAGTTTAGTTATATAAATTATATTTCTTTTTTTACAATAAGAATTCTTTAATGAAATTCATAATTTAAGGAAATCATGATAACTCTTTATACTAAAAAAGTATTTATTATACAATATTATTGGTACCAAGTAACGAGTTAAAAATTAAATTATAATTATAAATATAACTCTGGGTAAAATTATTAATTATTCTCTGATTTAATAGAATTATTGAGATTATAATAATACATAGATAATTAATTTTACAGATTCATAATTTTAACAAATACAAACTTTTAAAACCAATTAGCCTTAAATAAATGTATAAGGTATACATTTATTTACACTGTATAATTTTTATGACATTGTATATATACAGAGTAATTCACTTTCATGAACCATTTAAATAATCAAAAAATAAGAATAATATTGATAATTATTTTATTAGTTTCTTTTAGTTCAATGTTTTTTCAAATTATCATTCATGAATTATCATCATTTATATTAATTTCTTATACTTTATTAGATAATAAACTAGTTAAGTAATTAATTGGTCAATCAATGAACAACTATTCCAGAAGTTATTTTATTTTTATACTTAGGTAGGAGTTATAAAAATGGCAACTCTTCATCTCCAATTGATACTTTAAAGTGTTAATAACTTCTGAAATAGAAGTCCAAAAATTGTTATCGACCAGTCATTTTCTTATTAGATCATGATTTAATACATAAACTAGTTAATTATGTTGCAATTAAAAAAATTAATGTTGACACCTTGATAAAATATAGATAATTAAACTGAAAAATAATTTATTAAAGATAAATTGAAAAAAAAATTGAAATAAAAATAACCAATAAAAAAATTATTAATATTATTCTTGTTTTTCAATGAATTAAGTGGTTCAAAAAAAGTGAATTACTCTGTATATATATTTTTTTTATCTTAAAAAAATATATAGTTAAAAAAATATTGTTTTTTTTTTTGTATAAAATGATTATGACAAAAAATAAAATGTTTATCTAACTTTATGAAAACTTTTATACCCATATCAGTAGTTTAAATTAATTTCATAATTAACACTACTACTGTAAAAAAAAAAATCAAAAAAAAAAAAAAAAGAAAGAATTACATAAGTCTTAATATCTTTAATACTTACAATACAACAATATACATAAACGTGACAATATCCCTTACTAAAAACAATAAATAAATTATATTTCTAATGGTACAACTACAAACTCTTAGTAAGTTAGGTAACATAACAAATAAGTAATTTATAATTTTTTTTTATTTTTAGAAATAAAAATTAAGGTTATCCTAATTTTTATACAACAGAAAAATTATACATAAGTAAATGATAAAATTACTATAAAGAATTATTTTGGTAACAAAGTTTTAGAAGAATTACTACTTCAAAATATAAAAATAAACATTGGACGGTATCAATTTAAGCTATTTTTTTTAAACATTTAATATGTTAAATAAGATCCAAAAAAATATATTTTGTATATACATTTTTAATAAGTTTAAGTTAATTTAAAAATATTAATTGGACATGAAAATTTGATTAGACTTTGAATATTGTCACGTTTAACTATATAATTTATTAAACAATACTATATATGTATAGTATAAATAATTTTAAATAACAACAATAATAAAATAAGTACAATCCCCAAATTAATTACATTTCTTTTTTTATCATAACTCATAATTAACTATCACAATATTTGAGTAAATCACAAAAGACAATATAAAAACTTAAATATTTACAATATTTTGTTTTAAGCAATCTCAATTTTATATATATAAAAATAATAAAGACCAAATTTATTCAACAATGATGTTATATAATAAAATTTTTAGTTTACTATTATTAAATGCAAGAAAGGTCAAAGGTCATATCTCTTACAAAATTCAGCTTAATTATTAATAATTATACAGACTGTTCAGTAAGTAAGGACTCAAGTAAATTGTTACATAGAATGAAAACAATAGAAACCCGTTTCCTTACTTACTGAACACTGATATTTTCTATTATTTTTTGATAATAAAAAATAAAAAAAAAAATAGTGAAATAAATGTTACAACAATAGGCCTTTTGTACTAAACCACAGAGTTATAATTAGGAAAATTTATTATTACATATTGTAATGTATTGGAAAATAACAGAAATAAGCAAAGCATTTTTAAAGAATAATTTAGTTTAGTCATGTATTCAAATAATAGTTTTAAGTTTTCATGATTTGAGATGGTACTGAAAATTATTTTCTAAAGAATATTAATACCCATACATTTATAAGAAGTGAAATAAAATGAAATATTTTAAGTTGTTAAGTAATGTGGAGGGTTAACACTATTTTGTTATACTAAAATTATATGTTTATGTTGTATTAACTTATGTTACAATATACTCTTAAACAGGAACATGGATGAATGAGATACATTATGGAGACAGTTTTAAATGAAACATTTCCAATTTCTTTTTCTAAATTTTTTAATGTTAAACACAGTAAAAACATTTGAAAATACTGATAGTAAAGAAATTTACTACCTCAATATTTAACTCTAAAAATAATAGAAGCTCAATATATATAATGGTACTGTTATAGCTCAAAACTATATAATCATTATCTTTTCTAACTTAAAATAATTTAATAAAAAATTAATTTACAGAAAAAATAAATAAATGTATTATAAAGTGTTACAAGACTAGAAATTACTAATCTGAGTAGCTAAAGTATGTGTAGAGGAGGGCGAGTTCGGAAAAATATTTAAAGGTTGATCAGCGTATGATACGGTTGGTTCTTTGTTCACAACACCTTTAAATAATGCATTAACATCATCATTGTTAATATTAGTACATTCTTCATTATTTCCTAAAATTTTTAAAGCTTGAACAAGATCTTGAAGTATTTCAGTTTCACGTAATTCAATTAACTGATATCTGTGGTTAAATACAGATAAATGAGAAAAGACACAATTTAGATGAGAATGCAAATTTAATAACACTAATTCACGAAAATGACTATGGTATAAGTGAGCTAACACATGAAACAACAATCGAAAAATTTTTCGTACAACTACTTCAAATCCAACAGGAAAGTCATTTGCTAAAAAAAAAAAACAAATATTTAAAACTTTTATATTGATATATGAAATATTTTGCAATTAAAACAAAAAGGAATAGATAGTTAACATCAAGATGATATTTTAAGTAAAAAAATTTTTTAACATGAAAAATATTTAATATAATACATTTAAGGGGTAACACTTTTTTATTTTAATAATAAATTATAATAAATTTAATATAAATTTTGAATTTAAGATATCTTTTACTATCTACAATATGTTTAACTGAAATATGATTATGATTCAGAATATTAACTAATTAAAATTTATTGTATATATGCTCTTATTTTGTTTCTTGGCATTATATAAGCGCTTCTCTGAAACTACTGAGACATTTCTTTGGGATGGACATATCTACATTTGATATACTTATTGTTACTATTCAGGAGCATATTTATCAATATTCTTAATTTGCTTAAATAATCATGTTTTATGAAATTTAAAAAACTTACCATATTTTGTCGGAAATATTGTTTCATCATTGATAGTTTTTTGAATATAAGTCATAACATAATCTATATATAAGGGAGCAGCAACTCGAGACTTTTTGCCTTTTTCATCAAACCATAAATAGGTTCTAGAAAAAATAACTATATCAAATAAAATATAGTTAATAAACTAACGAGAAATATTATATTGTACCTATAACCTGGGCCTATCATGTCTGGACAACCAGATATTGTACAAAATTCTGATATAGCTCCGTAAATTAAGTTGACATTATCAAATATTGAAATAGCTACAATAAAACAAATGTATAGAATATTACATAAAAAAAATTATTTTTAATTAAGAATAAATACATACTATGTGACGCAAGCCACTCATTGTAATCAATACCATTAGGTATATCAACTAATATTCTAAGATCAATATCAGGTAATTTTTTTTCTAATACAGATTCATCTAAATATAATTTGTTGTCATCATTACACAATAATTCTTTATCTTTAGACTTACGGCCTTTTCTGAAAATAATATATTTTGTAAGTTAAAATAACAAAGTTTTTATTAGGTATAAGACCTGTATATCATACAATTGTGATTGTTTTTAAAATAACATTTTACTAATCTTAAAGCATTATTTTTATCATGATATTCGAGTAACTATTCTATTATTCTGATGGAAAAACATAAAAGCAGTAGTTAGGAAATTTAATAGGTTACAGCCATTAATTGACCATTATCATTAGTTCATAATTATTTTTAGTTTAGGAAAGTTAATGACAACTAGTAATTTAAATGAATAAATAATTAAATTAGGCTAAAATTTTATTTTAAGTATATTATTAGATATAATACACTATAAGAATCTAAGATTAAATGAATATATTACCAAAGATGAAAATTTATTCTTTATTATTAAAGATTAACTGATAAAAAAATTTACTTCAAAAACCTTTTTATCATTTTTAAAATTAATTTAAATTTAATTAATACATTAATTTTTAGATTTTCAAAATCGAGTAATTGGTTGTTATGTTTTTGGAAAAACTTAATAAAACTCTTATAACCTATGTTAATTGCTATGTTTTAAGTTCATAACACTTATTTAAGACTGTTTCTCTGTTTTGCAGTTGGGAATAAATTATTATTTTGAGTTCTAAAACAGTTGAAGTATTGACATTTTGTTGAAATAATCCTTTACACAGAAAGCAAAGCAATTTGTAACCAAGTATTTTACACTAGTGGCAATATGCACTGGATATTATATTTCTCATTGACACAAGCTTTTGTTTGATAAATTTTTAAAACAAAATAAATTAATGTAAAAATGACAATTATATGCAAAATCTATTTATAGGTATTTCGTTAAATTTCATAGTGAGAGATTTGCTTGTAAGGTCATAATACAAGTAGTTTTTTATTAAATAATATGAGAGGAAGAATTTCAATTATATTTAAGTTAGAATATTTTGTATTATTTCAAAATATGGCAGTAGAATGTCTTTTATTAATTGTTAAAATAAATAAATAAATATTTACAAAACAATTCTTGAACTTTAAACTTTAATATAAACGGAATTTGTCCCTTTAATGTTGGAAAATTTTCATCACAGTAAATTTATTTCGATTTTTTTTAAATGTCCAAATAAATTACTCACCCCATAAACCAATCCACGGTATCGCGGAGATATTCAGGTAGCTTATCCAGTTTGTCAGATTTTTATTCGCCAACCATTCAATATAAATACGTTTTTGCGTAATTATATTAATGAAAAGGAATAATAACAATCATGTAAAAGTTTTGTTACAATTACTGAAAATTAAGCGAAACAATAGAAGACGTCATATTGCCATTCTATTGATGTTTTCGCGTTTAAATGTTATAGAACAAAATAAATCGTAAGTTAAGGTGAAATAAAATTCTGATAGTCTTTAAACGATGTCCGATAGACTGTTAATAAATATGACGTCAATAATGATATTAACGCGTACACATTTTCATTTGTCTCATACGCAGAACAATAATATATCTATAAAACAACAACTACAATACATAAATATACTGGTGGGAATGAAAACGTACAATCTATAAGAAAGGACAGAGAAAAAGTTTATACTATCATGACATTATCAATTATTCTGATATCAGCAGGTTTACAGATGATGGTAATATCACAGTTTTATCTTAACTGTGGTAATATGATAACGCAGGGAACTACTGAGATAACATTTTCATGTTAAAATGACAATAGTTGCATGTCATTATTTATAAATTTTGGCTACCAACATATAGTTAAAACCGATTTAAACAATCTAATTTTTCAATAGTTTACTACTCGGGAATAACAACTGAGTATTTTTTAGAAAACGTCTATTATCTTACAATAATTTAAATAATTTTTTAGCAAAGTTTTAATACATTTCAATATAATTATAATCAAATTTTGTTTTTCATTACTTATCCTCATTTATTGTACACGAGAATGCGTGCTTCGTAGTTTTTTTTAAATATTTACTTTTCAAGTTGCTTATTTAATCATCAGTATTATTGTTATGATCATTAGTTATTATTGTTATCACACTAAGAATAAATATTTTGATAAATCGTCGCGGTGGCCTTAACGACGTGCACGAATAAAATCATTAACATTGTCCGTACCATCTGCCTAACAATTGGGTTTAAGAAATTTTACAAAAGTTACTGGAAAAATTAATTAATCACGCAGTTACAACAACAAAATCGATAAGTTAGCCCAGACCTTCGCGGCTTTGCCGTCGTTAATTTTACAATGGCGAGGTAGTGCGCGGAAAAAAACTGACAATAAAAGGAGTCGAAATAGAAGCAACAACATAATGAGTATTGCAGTTGATAGCGGTGGTGATTTTTATTTCTTAACCAAGAAACCAAAATCCACAGCAATTGAGTATGATTACAAGATTTCAGACAATGTTTTAGGTTTAGGCATCAATGGTAAAGTGTTGCAGTGTTTTTCAAAAACTACAGGCCAAAAATATGCTCTAAAAGTAAAAAAATAAAAGTAATAGCACATTTTATTTGAATTATTAAAAATTATTTTATTTTTAGGCGTTAGTTGATTGTCAGAAGGCAAGAAGAGAAATTGACTTGCACTGGAGAGCTAGTGGTTGTATTAATATAGTGAACATAATTGATGTTTATGAAAATATATATGTGGGAAAAAAATGTCTTTTAGTTATCATGGAATGGTAAAATTTTCATTTTTATTAAATTTAATTAATAAAAAATTTTAAATTATTGAATAGAATAGATGGTTATCATTTTTTTTTTTTATCTAAAATTATAATATTGTTTTCTAATATTACATTATTTATCCAGAGCCAATAGAGAATTTATAAGATAATTAAATAGTCAAGGAGATTTAATGATGAAATAAAAATAATGTATATTTATTATATAAAAAGTTATTGAGCAGGATTAGTTTGAAAAACTACAGCACAGTGGGGTCATGGCACAAATATAGATGATACCTTTCAGTGATTAAAATCATAAGAAACACTTTGATGCAAATCTGTAGATAGTGTTTAATTTTAAAAAATTGGTGGATTATTCTAAAAGCAAAATTAACTCCTATTTTTTATTCTACCTCAACTGTCATTTGCACATAAATTGTCCGATTTAAAAAAAATGTCGGATGAAAGGGGTATTTATAAAGTATTTAGAAACAAAAGTTTATGTTGATCTATATATTTTTCAAAAAGTTATAAAAATTTATTTATATGATAAATTGAAAAAAATGTTATGTTCTTTTTCATGAAATTGTTTTAAGTATCTCATTAATTTTTAAATTATATGATTGAAGTTATTTCTAATTATTGATGTACTCTAAAGAACAATAACCATATTACATACTTGTGATAAAGTATTACAATATCTTTTAATATTTATCATTTAACATTACCTTTTAGAGATAAAAATAAATAATATTCTATATCAATAATAAGTTTAGTATTTCTAAAAGAATATATAAAAAATTTGTTTTTATTAATTTATAATTGAGAAGCTACGCATCAAAACTATTGGTTTTACTTTGCAATGTTTTTTTTGTTTGTTCGATTAATCCTGCTCCTACTACTAGACTGATTTTGCTTAATGATATTTAAAAAAATCACAAACATATATTGAAGCTATCAACTAGACATTTTTGAAAAATTCTCAGTCTGGTAATATAAAGAAATGTCCCAACAGTTATAACTGTTATGAAACAGCTATAATTTAGCTAGATATTTTTTATTTCATTTTATATTGAAATAATTTTTTGACTTCTGTACGGGTTATTGACAAATTGTTATTAGTATTATGTTAAAAATTTAACGACATCCTTTTTTTTTTTTAATTCAAACATTAACCAAAATATTTGATATGGTTTTGTATTATAAATTTGGTATTTATAACTAGTTTTTAAAATGAAAAAAGAAAATTAATTTGACTTATCAGGTATAATTAGATAATTGTAAATTCATTTTTAAAAATAAATGCAATAATTGATTTATATTTACTTATGTATATATTATCTTATATCCTACTTATTATGTGATAGTATGGAAGGTGGTGAATTATTTCAACGTATTCAAGAACACAATGATGGAGCATTTACTGAAAGAGGTATATTTGTAATTTTTTTTTATAATTTCAATACTTTTTTTGTAATTATTTATTTATATCTAATGTATTTATATTTAGTAAAAATAACTTTTTATAATTCATATTCAATAATAAATAGTTATCGAGTATGAAAAGCAAGTTGCATTACTTAGATTGTAAATAAATGAAAAAGCTTTATTTTATTCATTGAATATGTATAATATCCCATTAAAATATACTAATTTATTATATAAATTAGTACTCTGTAAATTAAAATGGAAGAGAATATAGAATTACAAAAATAAACAAATGGTGAATAAAACAATTTTTTTTTACTTTAAATAGTTTGTTTTAAGTATCTATTAATATTTTAGTGTTAAAATATCAACTATACAATAAACATATTAAATTTATTTGGTTTCAATTGTAAATTCTAGTTTTTTTTAATTGAACTTTTTTTGCATATAGAAGCTGCACACATAATGACTGATATTTGCTCAGCTGTCAAGTATCTCCATGATATGAATATTGCTCATCGAGACTTAAAACCAGAAAATCTTTTGTATTCAAAACCTGGTAAACACTTATTATATTTAAAAAATGGAATTTTATTTTATTCTTTTTCTTTGCTATATTTTTATTTTATAACAATTATTGTTATTAAGTTGGCCAGTCCAACAAGCAACAAAACATTATCTCTATTTGTTAATATATGCAATTTCAGATTTATCAGTATTGGGTTTTTTTAAATTTATTATTTAAATTATTATATAATATTGTAACGTTACAAATTCGAAGATGGACCATTTATGATTTTTTGTTATGTTTACTTATTTATTTTATCGCGCGAAAGAACCTTATCCTGACAGCGGTGTCAACCACTCATTATTTTGCCGCTGACCGCTAGATAAGGCGATAAAAGAGAAATATAATTAAAATTGAATTGTTTATCAGTATTGATCCCTTCCAAAAAGACTGGCTGTTATCGATTTGAAATTAGTGTTGGCTCTTCTCTATTCCTTCTTCTGTCATTGACCGTGCTAAAGTGTATACGTTTATTGTTTTATTGTCATTTTTTTCAATGATGGAGTAGAGCTGCCAACGGCGAACAGCCAGGTCTTTTCGGCGAAGCATCCAGACCATCGGATAGGTCTTTTCGGTGACCGGTTATCGTTTTCTTTTATATATTGTATTTATGTAATGAGCTATATTTTATTACTTATTTTTTTCATTTTTATTTTATCGTAAATTAACTTAATTTTGTTTATGTGTGCAAAGCACGTGTTTCCCTTTTCTTCTAGCCAACACTAAGGAGTGAGTGTCCAGACTGCTTCTGGTGTTTTTCATTAATTTCTGATAAACATTAATGGATGTGTTCCAATACCCTCCGTGATGTTTGTAATATTACTTGTTTTTTGTTTAAATATTTTATTTTATTTTTGTTGCCTTTATTTGTAGACATGGTTTATGATGCATTCGTATTTTTGTCCATGTTTAACTTAATCTTCTTTTTTTTAACAATTAAATTAAACTTCTTTATTAATTTTAACTGTAATATTTATTTTATTTCGTGAGTAACTTAGTTACTTGTGTGTATTTTATCCCTGTTCCTTAATCTAGACACGGGCTACGGTATGTTTTACATATCAACCACATACAACTTTGATTGTCATAATTGTGGTTAATAAACCACGAGGTATAATAGTAATTTATACATATAACGACATATTAACTTAGATTATACTTTTAATTAACTTAAAATTAAATTCCACCTATGGTCCGGTAATCATATCTGATAGGTGTGGCACCTCGTCTAGATGGTGGCGACCCTTGTTACTATAGCTAGTCGTTATGCAAGTGGCAAACCATGTTGTTTTTACAGACCGGTATAAAAGCCTCCTTGCAATATTATAAAAAAATGTATTAAAATCCAATTATTAGATTTATTCTTTTTTTATGTAATAAAAATTGATTACTTGTAGTTCAACCAAAAAATTTCCTCTTATATACCTTTAATGATCTTATCACATAATTGATTATAACATTTTGCCAGTTTATCCAAGTTTAATAATTGATTTTTCAATGGGCCAAGATCCCAATTAATTAAATTTTTCTTATTTTTAAATATTTCTATTGCATCCTTTATATTGAATTCTTTGTAATTATTTATATTTTTAATTAGTTTTATGGTGTTAATAGAGTGATTATATGTTAATGAATGTCCAGGATCTACAGGAGATTTATTGATTTTTTGATTGTTAAAGTTTCTAAAGAGTTCTTTACACCTGACTCCTGTATTTCTTTTTGCTTGTCCTACATAACATAAATTACAACATTCACATCGTATTTCATAAATGCCCAATTTTCCTTCATCATCTATTTTTTTTCCGGCTTTACAATCCATTGAGGTTTTTTTACCGCCAAAACTACCTTCTCCCATTTCTCTCTATCATACGCTATAACTTTCTAATCCACCCCATCTTCTTGGACTACCAATTTCCATATCTCATTTATACTGTCTATCCATCTTCTTCATGGTCTTCCCCTTGGTCTCATCGCTGTCATATAAATCATTATTTCTTTTATTAGGCATCCGTCTGCTCGCCACGCATGTCCAGCCCATTGCATTCTTATACTTTTAAAATATTGCACAATATTTTCCTTTTCCTATAAGTTTTCTAGCTGGACATTTGATCTCAGTTCCCACTGTTATGTTTCGGTATTATATACTGGACCATGTATTCAGATTTTCCTTTTGAATCTTCTCTTCATCACCTTTAGTTGTGGACCATGTGACACATGCAGCTTATATCAAGTTTTTCTTTGACTTTTTTTAATATCGTTTTTGATTTAAAGAGGGTCTTCATTGGAAATAACATCGATTTGATGCATTCAGCCTCACATTTATTTCTTCGTACATAATATTCTTGTTGTTTAGAATTATTTTAAGGTACTTAAATTCTCCTTTATCTTTAGGGTTACCTAATAAATCCCTTAAATTATTACTTTTAGATGTTACTAAAGTAATATAAAAATTCTTAAGAATTTTAATTATTCCATTTAAGATTGCAAGATAATATAAAATGGGTGTTCTAATTACTTTTTCTTTCCCCACCCAATTGATGCTGTCTGTCGTCCAAACACTGCTTGTGTGTGCGTACCTGCATATACTGAGGGAAAGATATTCGCACATGACAATTGTATTATAACTATTTTACTATTAAAAAATTTGCATTTTTAATAAAAATATAGAATTAAGAATATAAAATTAGTTTACTTCTTTTAATTAATTTTAGTAGGGGGTGCAATCGTCCCGTCGTCCAAGCCAGGAGCCACCTTTGTGTTTATAGTGTTTACATGTAGTAAAAAATTATATATAGTGCTATGAAGGGAACATTTATTCATGTTTATTTGGCAGATATACTCTTAGTCCCTTTAGATTGTACTTGAAGGCTATGCATGTTACAAAACATTTACATTATAATTTTTAGTTTGTGTAAAAAAAAATATTCTTTTCTTAGGTAATGATGGTATTTTAAAGTTGACTGATTTTGGCTTTGCAAAAGAAGTGTCACAAAAAGCACCTTTAAAAACTCCATGTTACACCCCATATTATGTTGGTAAGTCATTAGAAAATCAATTGCATACATTAAATCCTAAACATATGTTTTTTGTTTTATCTAGCAGTAAGAAGAAATAATGTTTTAATGCATTTTATTTTACAGCCCCAGAAGTTTTGGGACCAGAGAAATATGATAAGAGTTGTGATATTTGGTCTTTAGGGGTTATAATGTATATATTGTAAGTATTTTTTTCTGAAAAATTGAGAAGATTATTATTATTATTTTTTAAATGTTATAATATTTTATTTTACAGGTTGTGTGGATTCCCACCATTTTTTAGTAACCATGGGCAAGCTATTTCACCTGGTATGAAAAACCGTATCAAAACTGGTCAATTTGATTTCCCAAGTCCTGAGTGGGATAATGTATCTAAAGATGCTAAAACACTCATATCTAGTATGTTATCTGTTGATCCAGCTACCCGTCTTACTATTGATCAAGTCGTTAGACATAAATGGATTGCAGTAAGTTGCTAAGAACTAATACTACATTGGTATTTTATAATACTTCAAAAAATAGTTAAATATAAAATATATTCATTGAATAAAAAAAATATACTTTTGGATATATTTTAGATGATAAATATTTTAATTGTATTGAATAAATCTTTCTAATATAAAATTTAGTGTTTTAAACTATTTATTTTAAATATTTTTACTAATTCGATTGTTTTATATATTATAGAGATATACTGAGGTTCCACAGACACCACTCCATACTGGTCGCATGTTGAAGGAATCAGGAGATGTATGGCCAGAAGTTCAAGAAGAAATGACTAGATCACTTGCTACAATGCGTGTAGATTATGACCAAGTTAATATTAAATCATTAAATGCATCCAATAATCCCTTATTAAACAAAAGAAGGAAAAATGTAGGAGCCAACAGCACATCTCATTAATATGCATAAATTTTTTTAAAGATATTATGGACGATCTGCCACTTGCGGTTACTTTTTTTATTTTTCTGAAATATGTCATGAGGTCAAGAACTCTTAATTCATTATTTATGCTTAATATGCTAAATAATTTTATAAATAACATTTATATTTGTTTGTTAATTATTGAATTGTATTGAAGATTTGTTGTTTATAATTAAAAAGTATTTACTTTGGTATTCAGTGTCTTGTAACATGGTTATATTCTTAATTTAACATAAGTCAAATATATTTAACACATATTATATTAGAACGATTTAAGCTTTTATTAAACTCTCCATAACATTAAAACAATAATACTGATTTACATTAACAAAAGTAAAAGTATTTAAGTAAATTGGTTTTTTCAGGAATAAGAAAAACATTTTAAAAATGTTAACAATTTTGTAGGTTTAAAAGTAAGTGCTGTTTATTAATATAGTATATTAATTTTATTTTTTTATCAAGAAAATTTATATACTATTACTGATTGTAATATTAATTGATTGTCTGATTATGTACTTTTAAAAGGTTAGAATTGTTGTAATGGCAAAACATTTTTAATATCATTAATGTATGTAATTTGGTGTTATTAAACTTCCTTACTCTAGTTGTATCTTTATAATTAATTTACAGTATTATTTTACTTCAGTGTTTTGCATGTTTAAAATATCATATTATTGTGAATTCAAATTTATGTTAACCTTATAAAATGATAAATTATTATTTCTATTAATCTCTAGAAAATGAAATGTTGTAATATAACTAGTAGGCAAGAACATGGAGTAAAAACTGTACATAATTTTTCTACTAAAATTGACTTAACTATTGTGTACTTTTATTAACTAGAAGAAATCCTTCTTTTGTAATTTTATTAATTTTGTGTTTGTAAACTAATTTAAACTGAAACACCACGAACAAATATTTTTAGCCTTAAATTGTATGAAAATATTTGATAATAAAATTTTGAATTTTAGTTTTAGTAACAAAATACTATTGATAAACAGGATTAAAATTATTCTTCAGTGTTGGAAAAATTATTTTTTTAGAAGGTGAACGAAGTATATTTTTAAACCGAACAAGTAATACATTCTGTTTTTCATTAACTTCCAAATTAAGAAATCTATTCCATTTTCTAAAAAAGAACTTGTCCCAGAAATAGTTTCTCTAAATAATATCCATACGAACTTCAAAATATGAATGAATATTTGACACTAAAAATTACTTCACATTCTTAGAAGATAAATCCAGAAATATTAATATGAAAATAATAAAATCATACACGTAAATTGAATTTTCATAAGAAATTATTATTTTAAAATTATATGAAATATAATTAAGTTTATTGGCTTGTAATTAAATCGCTCATATTAAAAATACCATAACTCAATAAAAAGAGAAAAGTATTTTTACAAAAAACGTAAATAAAAAAAATTGTTTTGTAATTAATACAAATAGTGTAAAATAATACTATTTTAATAATTAGTTCTCAAATTTTATGAAGATAGAAATAATTCATTCTCTTTTTAAGTCATAAATTTAAGAAACCACACATTATAAGAACCGTTTACAAACCAAACATAGTCATAGGAACAATACTCCGAAACCTGAAGGATAATTTGCAAGAAATGCAATCATTAAGAGTCTATGAAGAACCGTGTTCATATGGTAAATCTTACATTGGACATCCAGGAAGAGTTAATGCAACAAGAATAAGATAAAACGAAAAAAAAAAAAACCCAGCACAGTGGGGTCGCGGCACAGTGGTGACGTGGCATAGTTGGATCAAGTAAATGATATCTGACAGTGATTAAAATCACTATCAAAAATAAACGCTTCGATGCAAATCTTTAGATAGTGTTTAATTTTAAAAAAATTGGTGTTTTATTCCAAAAGCTACTTGATCTGCTGGTTCCTTATTAATATCCTGATTAAGGTAAAGTATGTCGAATGAAAAAGGGTTTATTAAAAAATATTATTTGTCATAAAAAAATTGTGTGGATCCATAAACTTTTCAATAAGTTATAGCATTATAAAGTTAAATATAATATAAATAATAAAATCGAGAATTTTCACACGAAAAAAGCATTCGGTAGCCATTTTCGCCATGAAGACAAGTCCAGAGGTCAAATTTTTTTTTTTCAAATTAAAGTATATTACATTAGCTTTAATTTAAGATATATATAAAAGTGTCAGACCTTCCGGAACATTTTCAAAAGTTATGTTGAAAAAGTAAATTTTTTGTGAAAAAGTTGTCATTTTAAATCCCCCCCTGTGGGCAGGTTAAGTGTCAGATTTACAAAAAAAATATACCAAATGATAAGTAAAGACATCAAGCATCTATATAAAAAAAAATTATATTGATATGTTCATTTTTGAAAAAGTTAGAGCATTATTAAGTTAAAAATATAAAAAAAAATTATTTTACAAAAATCGTAATTTTTTATTAACTTTGATGTCAACTTTCACCACGAAGACAAGTCCAGAGGTCAAATTTTTTTTTTTCAAATTAAAGTATATTACATAAGCTTTAATTTAAGATATATATAAAAGTGTCAGACCTTCCGGAACATTTTCAAAAGTTAAGTTGAAAAAGTTAATTTTTTGTGAAAAAGTTGTCATTTTAAATCCCCCCCTGTGGGCAGGTTAAGTGTCAGATTTACAAAAAAAATATACCAAATGATAAGTAAAGACATCAAGCATCTATATAAAAAAAAATTATATTGATATGTTCATTTTTGAAAAAGTTAGAGCATTATTAAGTTAAAAATATAAAAAAAAATTATTTTACAAAAATCGTAATTTTTTATTAACTTTGATGTCAACTTTCACCACGAAGACAAGTCCAGAGGTCAAATTTTTTTTTTTCAAATTAAAGTATATTACATTAGCTTTAATTTAAGATATATATAAAAGTGTCAGACCTTCCGGAACATTTTCAAAAGTTAAGTTGAAAAAGTTAATTTTTTGTGAAAAAGTTGTCATTTTAAATCCCCCCCTGTGGGCAGGTTAAGTGTCAGATTTACAAAAAAAATATACCAAATGATAGGTAAAGACATTAAGCATCTATATAAAAAAAAATTATATTGATATGTTTATTTTTGAAAAAGTTACGACAGTTTTTAGTAAAAAAAATTGAAAAAATTTCGAAAATTAGCGATTTTTAAATTTGTAATTTTTTTGGAGGTTTCCCCCATTTACGGGGAACGAGGGAAATTTTTTCAATTTTGAAGGGTAATGTCTTCGACTAGATACGATTTGTGATCTTTTGACGTATCGTTGAAAGAAATCCGTTCGGTGAGAGCTGAGAAAAAGTGGTAACAAACAAAAAAAAAAAAAAAAAAACACATCATAGTAAAACCAATACCTTCTCAGCTTCGCATCGAAGCTAACATATAGATAACCAGAGAGTAAAATAAAATGCAGTAGCTGAACACACCAACAATAGTAGATACGAGATTCAATTTGACAAAAAATGTACTTTACAACGAGTCTGAAACGTTAGCCCAAAATTAAAGACATGGACACATTTGTAAACATTTCATACAATACAACAATCCATGAAAACTTATGATACTTACTTTAATTTTTGTTAGGGCAATTATTTTACATTAGAAATATATATCAAATTTATCATAATTAAAAAAAGAAAATAAGTAAAATGTGTATGGTTACGATAACCAATATATAACTGTGTTTAGGACATACATGGTCGCAAAAAACATATTTCCTCAAAATCGAAACATTTTATTATAGAATAATAACTACAAGTTATTTTACTCGGGGTGTAAATCAATTATGTTGCTATTTAATTTTATAATAGAATAGAATTGCATGTAATAATTTTAATCAAAATGAAAGACAAAAAACTATCTTTTGATATCATATTTATTATTTGCATCAATGTTACATTAGTTTTAAAACATGTCTTTATATATTAATTCTGTAAAAAATAAATTTTTGGATTTGAGTGGATTTTTACATTTATGACTTAAAAAGAGAAAGAATTATTTCTATCTTCATAAAAATTGAGAACTCATTATTAAAATAGTATTATTTTACACTATTTGTATTAATTACAAAATAATTTTTTTTATTTAAGTTTTTTGTAAAAATACTTTTTTCTTTTTAATGAGTTACATTATTTTTAATATGAGTGATTTAATTACAAGCCAATAAATTTAATTACATTTCATATAATTTCAAAATAATAATTTCTTTTGAAAATTTAATTTGTGCGTATGATTTTATTATTTTCATATTAATATTTCTGAATTTATCTTCTAAGAATATGAAGTAATTTTTAGTGTCAGTAACTATCTCTTTCATCTTTTGAAGTTCGTATGGATAAGTCAACTTGCTAACCATAGTGTAATATTCTACATCATTCAGTAAGTTATCAATGTATTTGCTGTTTAATGTAAAGTTTACCAGTAGTTTACCATCAAATAAATTCTTCATTATTTTATTTAAGCTTATAATAATAGGCTCGAAAGCATTTTCCTGAGAATTAGCAACTTTGAATAAAACCAGCGATTTTTTAAATCGATTTATAATTTCATTCATATCTTCTTTTAAATAAAAAAAGTCCGAAAACTTATTTATATACTTCAACATTTCTCCATTTAATGAAATTAAAAGTTCGTTAATAGAGCCATGATTGGGATTTGAAAAATTAATTTGGTTTGCTAGTCTAAGGTACATTAATGTGTTACGTAATATAACTGTTTTAACTACTCCGTAAAAATCATTCTGTAAATCTGCAATAGACATTACCCGTTGTGAAAATGGTATGTCTTTCTCTGAACTATGAGGTACACTAAAAGTATCGAGCAAGATATCGATGTCGGAACTATTAAATCCTATTAAAAATTCACTTAATACCCTCTTTATAATGTCATGATCTGCTAGAATGTTGTTTAAACGTATCATTTCCATAGTTAAATTACTCGACTGTTTATGATAATCTAGATTCTGATTAATTTCGTTTATTAAAAATTGATATAAGAAGTTCCTATTTTCGTTATCGTTATTGATCGAACTTAATAATACTTCGAGTTCATTACTTTGCTTTTGATAATAATCGGAACAAGTTTTCGAATTTAGACGCTTGGAAAGAAGACTATTTATTGTATAGTGAATTTTATCAATTCTGTGCGTATCTTCAGGCGTTGGATTTAAAATGTATTCTTCAAATTCAAAAAGATACATAAAAAATATCCACAATATATTACTTATGGAAGGTATATCAATAACATCAAACATAATTATTTTCCAATACTCTTTGAACAAAGAACTGTAGCTAACTATTTTTTGATATGTTGTTTTATTGTCACAATTAAGATCGATTTGAAGTGCAAATTTGAGTATTGAAATATGTTCAAAAGCTTTAAACACATACCCGCAATGTAACTCATTATTAATAGTATTCGTGTGTTGTTTCAATCCGTCATTGGCCATTCCTTTTAATTTATTTAACGATTTAAATTTTAATTGATTATACTGTTTAAATGATTCATTCTTTTTTATTTGCCTTTTTAGATTACTTTTTTTTTTTTCATCATTTGCTAAAATACTTCCACTAGAAATTAAGATAGTTCCAAAAATGATAAAATATAAATCCATTTGATGTGAATTATTTTATAGATTTAAAATGTTTAAGAAGAATGAGCGTGAACTGAATTATGTCTAAGTATTCTCATTTATTGTCTGTAATGGTGTTTTTATTAGTTTATTATAATTTTTATACACTAGTTATATTTTTTTATTCTGTGAGGTTAAAAAATAAAAACCATCTGCTTAACTACAGTGCTGTTATTATAAAACATATTTGAATATCATCGGCTACGTGGCAAAATTTCGCAAATCATATTTTTAGCAATTTTATTTTAATAGTAATGTATACACATTACTTTTTTTATGAATATTAGTACCACAACAGTAAAATTTCATGGTAAATTTATCATATTAATGCACAAGAATTACACCTGGTTTCTACAGTAACAAATGCAAAATCAAAAAGTTTTGCGCTTCTTTTGTAAGATTGATAAAATGTGCCTTACTGCGTTCTGCCACGCATTTAACAATATGTGATAACTATCAGATTTTTAATTTTCAACCATAAAATATTTGTTTTTGAATTCACAATGACATCGCCAGTTTTAAAGTAAACCAAAGTTTTTTGAACTTAACACAATAGTGCTAAGTGTAGAATTTATATTACATTAGATGAATTCATATGAACAAATAATTTTTTTTTATTTATAAAATTGATTTTTATGTTTTGATTACTAATAGTAAATAATAAATACTGATATAAATAGTAATAAAACTATATGTATAAAAGAGAAATAAAGAACTGGTCCAATGATGTTAGCCCACTGGGATACGGAAAAAATCTTGGCACCCTTTATTAAAAGGAATTGAAGGTTATAGAATCTTTTTATCGAATAAAAGACAAAAAAACATTTTATCGATTCTTCTGAAATGTATCCTTAATGGTTATAAATTTAAAACTAGGAGATAAAACAAAAAAAAAGTTAAGCTTAATTTTTAGATAAATTAGTGTTATAATTAAGTTTAACAGCCTAAAAAACAGGTTAAACCTATCGCAGCTGTTTAGATTTGTATAACTCTTTAATAACATTATTAAAACCAATTTCATAAGTTTAAAAATAAATTCTTTTTTATATTTTTTATGAATCTTTAAGTGTGTAATTATTGCTAATTTTTAATTAGTAACTATCTTAGAAACTAGATGTGTTGGAATAAATCTGAAATAAGATTTGGAATCAGTATAAAAATTTTATATATTATTGTAAACCGCAGATTTTTTTTTTTAAATACCAGTGTGTGTAAATAGTTTACAAATTGATAAAAATTAAATGAATAAAACACAAGCAAAATTTCATGTTAATTATATTAATATAAAAAAAATAAATAGTTTAATGAAAATAGAGACAATAAATTGACTCATTTAGCCACATTAAATATTTTAAATTACCATAAATGATAAATAACAATAATAATTACTAACTGATTTCATTTTCCTCTACTACTATTAAAGGGCAAAGAACTCTTTACATGCAAAAATATATAGCGGCTGTATTGTAATAAATATGTGTCGACTTGTGGTCAGGCGTTTGCGAATTTATAGGATGGAAACGTTGGAGACCGGCAAACTGAATAAACGTAAACATACTTTGAAAACCCTTTTCCAACGGACTTTTGTTTTGAGATAGTCATTCACCCGTCGACACGTGTCAACGCAGGACGTGAACTGTGAAAATACACTTTACCATCAATAAGCAAGTGAATATTAAAAACAAATTTTATATAAAAAACTAGTATTAGATTTTTTTTTAAAATTAATGCATGAGTGTTAATGAAATAAAAATAGAACTTGTTATTTTATAAGTGAGGTAAATGAATTTTCGCTAGTGTATTTATTTCATGTTGAGTTTAATCTTATTTAATTTAATTATAAATTCATTATATAAAAATAAATTATTATAGTTGCGAAACTTAAATAATAAAAAAACGAAGTTATAAGGGTGTTATTTTATCTTATGTTAATATTATCAAATAACAAATAGTTACAATTAGATTTCAGATTTCAATGTTACTTGTTTTAAATAGTATGATAAAATAAATTATAAAAAATCTAGCGTTAAATAAATAATTAATTATGTTGATGTACGAAACTTCAGTTGAATAAAAAATAATACAAATAATATGCACAAAAAATGATGTAGTTACATACAGTTTATGTAACTACAATGTCCCATCATGTTTTGACATATTTAATAATACAAGGCAACAAATAACAAAACAAATTATTATATGAATTTTATGTGGCCTTTTTGTCACTGATTCCAAACGTGGCTGTAGATTTTTTCTATCATATCTAGAATTCATGATGTTTTGGAAAATTCAGAACTATTCCATCAATTTTAAACTTGTCTTTGGATTTTTAAAACTGAATTTTAATGTCATTTTCGAAAAAGTTAAACTTTAGAGTATATATTTTTTGGTTTATCTTACTGTGGGAAAACTTTAAACAACAAATAGATAATTTTATAAAAAATTAAAGTATATTACATTTTTACTTATTAAACATGAAATAATTTTAGAAAAATTAAAAAAGAAAAATAATTTAATATTTTTTTATGACAATTTCAATGTGTAATTATCACTTAATTACTAGTTAGTAATTATCTCAACAACTAGATAGGATTAAAAAAATATGAGAAAGATGGTTATCAACATTTCATATAGAATTCATATAAAAAAATGTAAATAAGAAAATTGTTGTTGTAATACGTGATCCATTAATTATTTTGCGTTACTTCTTTTTTAAGTTAACTTTTCAATTTTGAACTACGTTAAGAACNGATATGTTCATTTTTGAAAAAGTTAGAGCATTATTAAGTTAAAAATATTAAAAAAAATTATTTTACCAAAATCGTATTTTTTTTTTATTATACGTCTCTAATTAATTTTTTTTTTATTAAAATATCAAAATAATCACATTTTAGCCATTTTCTTAGAAAAAATTTTAATGGGTCGATGACAATTATAGCATAAGTATCTATTGAGTAACAAGGATTTTAATACATGTGGTATGTATGTAGCGTGAGTGGGTACGGTTCGTAATGTTGTATATTTATTATGTATACTTCACCTCATTTCATACCTACTATATCTATTAAAATACTTGTAATCAGTAAGTAATTATTCTAAAATCGTTATTGCCTAATCACAAACGTGTTTTAAGTAATATGCTAAAAAATAGCCACTAAAATTTAAAAAATTAAAAATTATTCAGAGATAAATAATAAAAAGTATGCTTTTTAGATATAGTTAAAAACTTTATTATCAAATTTAAAAAAGTAACGAAAAATATTCGATAAAAAGTTGTTAAAGATTTCAAATTATGGTGAGACAGTGTATATTTTCAAATGTAGAAGAATTGCCTATCTAATTTGCCTTGTAAATTAAAATCCAAGTTTTTAAATTATTTTTCTGTTAAACGTTGTGTAAGCATAAATAGAATAATTTTTTCAATACTTTGAATGAAATTAGCTGGTGTTTGTTTTCAAATTTTGAATACATGATATTATGAAAACACAAAAAATGTCACAGCTATAGTGCATGAATTAGATAGTTTTAAAATCAACTAACAATTTTATATTAAAAATTGATCACTTGTGGCGAATTATTTAAAATTGTATTAAAAATATTAATTTAAGACTAAAAAAATATATAACTTAAAAAGGTCACATAAAAAGAAATTACTGAAAAATCGTATATATGTATTTCGGGAAAATGTTACCATTAGCATCGCTAAACACATACTGACACCACGACTGGAAAAAAGCCCCTTGTATACCCCTAGTGACCATTTTGCCAGTTTATCCAAGTTTAATAATTGATTTTTCAATGGGCCAAGATCCCAATTAATTAAATTTTTCTTATTTTTAAATATTTCTATTGCATCCTTTATATTGAATTCTTTGTAATTATTTATATTTTTAATTAGTTTTATGGTGTTAATAGAGTGATTATATGTTAATGAATGTCCAGGATCTACAGGAGATTTATTGATTTTTTGATTGTTAAAGTTTCTAAAGAGTTCTTTACACCTGACTCCTGTATTTCTTTTTGCTTGTCCTACATAACATAAATTACAACATTCACATCGTATTTCATAAATGCCCAATTTTCCTTCATCATCTACTTTTTTTCCGGCTTTACAATCCATTGAGGTTTTTTTACCGCCAAAACTACCTTCTCCCATTTCTCTCTATCATACGCTATAACTTTCTAATCCACCCCATCTTCTTGGACTACCAATTTCCATATCTCATTTATACTGTCTATCCATCTTCTTCATGGTCTTCCCCTTGGTCTCATCGCTGTCATATAAATCATTATTTCTTTTATTAGGCATCCGTCTGCTCGCCACGCATGTCCAGCCCATTGCATTCTTATACTTTTAAAATATTGCACAATATTTTCCTTTTCCTATAAGTTTTCTAGCTGGACATTTGATCTCAGTTCCCACTGTTATGTTTCGGTATTATATACTGGACCATGTATTCAGATTTTCCTTTTGAATCTTCTCTTCATCACCTTTAGTTGTGGACCATGTGACACATGCAGCTTATATCAAGTTTTTCTTTGACTTTTTTTAATATCGTTTTTGATTTAAAGAGGGTCTTCATTGGAAATAACATCGATTTGTTGCATTCAGCCTCACATTTATTTCTTCGTACATAATATTCTTGTTGTTTAGAATTATTTTAAGGTACTTAAATTCTCCTTTATCTTTAGGGTTACCTAATAAATCCCTTAAATTATTACTTTTAGATGTTGCTAAAGTAATATAAAAATTCTTAAGAATTTTAATTATTCCATTTAAGATTGCAAGATAATATAAAATGGGTGTTCTAATTACTTTTTCTTTCCCCTCCCAATTGAGTGTACAGCTACTTTCCTTTTTTTATTCCACTTATGTGTTCGGACTAAATTTGATTAAGTTTTCTTTATATACTTTTAATCTAGTTGTTTTTCTTATAACTCGCAGTTCTTTATCAAAATCTATTTTATTCATTGGATTATTAATTAATCTATAAACCATACTATAAAAATCTGATATTTTGTGTTGTCAGCTGTGGGTCGATTTGTTCGGAATATACTTGATCGTGTGTGTATTTTTCTGACAAATTTCAAAATTTAGTTCCTCCTCTTTTGAAAAATAAATCTAAGAGTCAATTTTTCCTTTACTTCCTGTTCTTATGTGAATTTAATCGATGGGTAAAACTAATTTAAATGTTGTAAGATTTACGTATTAAAATCTTTGTTTATTACTGCAAAATTATTATCTACATGTTTAACTTAAATTTACGAGAAATCACCATAGGATTTTTAAATTTATTTAGAACTTTTTCATGAAAAGTTCTGCTAAAAATAGTGATAGTATAATTGGCATTGCAGTGCTCTTGTTTATTACTATTATTTATAGTTTATTATCAGGATCAGATTGAGAAATTTTAGTCCACCAACATTTTATACTTTTATCGTCCAGTAAACCGGTTAATATCGATCAAATTATACATTTAAACTATGAATTATTGGTATTTTTTAGTTTGTAACTTAATTTTGAACGTTTATACAAAAAGGAATAATTTTAATGGGTCAAAATTTATCTTACTAACTCCAACTTATTATAGCGCTATTCAGGTTTTCAATGTAGTTTCCCAGTAAAATTTGCTCACTGTGTAGATATTGTTAGGGGCTTCTTTAGTACTTGAGGATCTTGGTCAAAACCAAGAATCGGAAGCTACCCGACGTTAGCCTTAATATCGTCCCTATCTCCTTAAATGAGTTTTAATTGTCTGATGGAGACACAGGTAATCGTGTACCTTAGTTACAAGGGATAGATTATATAATAAAGTTAGACTTTTGTTTTATGTCAATGACAAAGTAAAGTGATAATTTAAATATTCAGTATATAGAAGTCATATGTAATGTACAATACGTTTTACCTGAATCCTAGTACAGTTGGTTAGTAGGTATAGTGAGACGGAATTGGTTGGCTATGATGACAATTGGCTATAGACGATTCGTTGAATAAAACAAGTTAGTTTATTAATAATTTAAACAAAACAAAAGTAATTAATAGCATTGAAAACTATGTCTATAACGGCCACTCAAACACAACTGCCCTTTGTTAGATTGACGTCAGTAGCTTCAGGCTACAGACGAGTAGAATTATCATATCAGCATCTCCATCTATGCTAATTAATATGTATTACGAATTAAGTAAATGGAAATAAAACGTGTATAATATAAGTGGTAAGAACATAGTAATAAATGTTCTTACAATATATTTCTACACCGTTTAGTAATATAAATATATTTATATAAATAAGTTAGTTGATTAAATGATAATATGATAAGAGAAAGAAAGTTTAAGTTTAGTTAGAATGCTTTTTAAAAAAGAGTAATGATACATATTCTCAAGAGTGTTGTATGTTAGTTAGATCAGAATTTTCGTTCTAACAAAGGTCATACGACATGATTAAATTAGGCGAGCAATTTGCGTTCTATTATTTCTATCTTGTAATTAGTAACGCCCCGTATCTCACCCATAGATACATAAAAAGTATCTTCGGTCTAATGGGTTTAAATTTTATTTCCTCGAAACTGTCGTCTGTCGACAGTCTTTAGCATAAAACTTAATTGAGTATAGTAGTTATCCATTGCGTATTATGATGTACAAATTATGAAACTAACGCTTGGCTGAACATCTAGTAATTATTAATTGACATTTGTATAGAGTTTTATAAATTTTGTAATTAATTCTGAGAAACATTAAAGCACACCTTTTGTGATTAGAAGTACTGTATAAAAATTGAATTATTTTCTAGACACATTATAAATATTAAAAAGGACTACTTCAAAAAATAAAAATAAAAATGTGTAATTGAACAACTTATAATTCAACAAATGAAATTAAAAGTATAATATACTGAATGAAATATTATTTGTAAAATGAACTGAATTAATGTATAAATATATAAATGTTGAACTACAAGAAAGATAGTCTATATATATATATATATATATATTAATTAAGAATTATATTATTGCAGCTTTTTGTGAATTGAATAATATGAGTGCAAAAATTGATTTAATAAAAGATGAGGAAACTGCTGACAGTCGACCAAATTCAAAAGGATTGGAATTGAACTTAGATGAAAATATAAAATCAGCGTCGAGTGATAAACGAAAATCTTCCACTAATGTAAGTATAATTAGTTTAAGAATAAAAAATTAGCCCACAAATAAAAAATACTAAAGTTTTGAATTATTTTAACTTATTTTAGAAGATATTGTAAGCGTCAACAAATGTTAGTATCTCTTAATACTATTTTACCATATTGATTATTTCCTATTCAAGAAATAACTTAGTAACAAGTATAGACATATGCTAAGTCTTCTATTTTTGAATGAACACACGTAAAAACTATTTTTTATAAATCATATTAAAAGATTTATATCATATATCATGATATATATATATATATCATCACTTAATGGCAATCGAATGATTTGAACAATTACGTTATTTATTTATTTACAAGCAAGAAAAACAAAGAATTTTCTTTTGTCAAAAAGTATTTATTTCCTTGAAAAATGAATTCCTTAATATGGCTTAATTTGTTTAAACACTTTTGTAAATTTAAGCATTTAACGTACTTTGTTTTAATTTGAAAAATGTGTTATTTTGAAAAAACAATATATTTTTTGTACGTAGAAATTAGTTTGTGTCAGACACAATTCTTATAAGTGTCCTTGGAGAGATTGGCATTTTGTATGGTTGTTATTTTTATAAAATTTTTCTTTTTAATGTTTTAAAGTATTTTTTTTTTAATAAGATAATGCAGTAACTTAACAATGAAACCGTAAATATGATGAAAACAATTCTAATTCAAATATTAATTAATAACAACTTATTATGCATTTAATTAATGTGTGTTTATTAGTGTTAGAAAATACAGTTATAAAACGTTTGAATGTTCTCTACAGTAATAATTACTATATTTATTATTTATTATAGTCAGTGGTGTAGTCCTAAAAATGTTTATGGGTATACGCCTATATAATAAATAGAGAATAACGTGGGGGGCTCCGCCCCCCACACCCCCTATTGCACTTTACATTTTTTACATACAATATTTCACATTATCAACAGTGATATAGTCGTAATTTGATCAATAGATAAGTTAAAAACCTAAATGAGGAAACGTGGGGAATTTCACCCCCACACTACATTTCAAAGGCCTTAACTATAACATAGTTTTGGGGGACGGAATACAAATATTGTGATATTTTAACTGTGTTAAAAATATGTATTTTCTAATTATTACATAATGCAACTAAAACTCCTAACCCTCCCAGTTGCTCCTTCCAACTTCCAAACTATTACTCGAATATTTTTACTGACACTTTTAAGTTCTTACATAAATTAAATTTCATAGTCATACAATTGATAAGTGTATTATTAGATACTGTTATATTTTTTATAAATAAACAATAAACTTTATGCAGTAATAAAATAATCTTACAATCATTGTTTTCAAATCGTTAAAACATAAATGAAATAAACGTGAATAGGTACATGTTAGTACTATCTTAATTCATTATAGGTAATATATTAAATACTAGATTGGTTGGTAAACGGTTTATTACGGAAAAATACAAATTACCAATTTCAACAGCTATAGGTTAACCCAATAACTTTCAGTTTCAACTTAGTATGTGCTATATCGTTAATTTCTGGTCGATGTTTTAAATTTTGTCAATAAAATTGTCGTGAAATGATAAACATTATCCTATTTATTTATACACTTTGACAGTGTTTTGTTTTACATTTATATTCTAATTTTAAAATGATAATAGTCTCGAGCCATATTTGTATGTTTATAACTTCAGATATATGTTTATATGTGGTATGACTGTAGAGATTAAACAAACTGATAAGAGTTATTCAAAATTTGTGTTTTATGACAAACGTACCTATATTCGATACCCACGTATTACTTTTTATTTTATTCTTTAGTCTATACTCTTTAACTATTTTATAAATACGTATATGCACTAATAAAAAAACTAACAGTGGATATACGCCGTATACCCGCGTATCACTCATGATTTTATAAGTATACGCAATAACAGAAAAACAAAGAAGTGGGTATACGCCGTATACCCGCGTATACGCTCCACGACACCTCTGATTATAGTTTATGTTAATGATTATTGTTAACACTAGTATATTGTGTTGAAGATTTCATAATTATTGTTTGGTTTTAGAAATGAACCTTGTTTATCCTGACAACTTTATAACTTTCATTAAATTTATTTTTGGAAATATGCAAACCTGAAATAAGGTCAATGATCCCAATATTATAAACATTTGACAACAAAATAAATACCCGTTGGTTTTTTTTTCAATAAAATAACTACTTGTAATTGTTTATTTTAAATTTTATTTATGAAAGAAATAATGTATGTTATACACAATGTTCTATGATAGGACAGTACAAAGTAAAAAAAGCTCGAGGTAAACGACTTATAATATGTATGAACTTATAAAAATAGCATTAATATTAAATAAATTATTCATAGTTTTTGGGTTGCTTACCCTTAGTATTATATAGCTTTTTGTTCGTGACTGAACGTTTCCTGTTTTTTTTTTTTTTTAATATTTAGAAATTTGTGAGTTAATTTCACTATGATAGTTTTATTACTAAAATTTTAGCTAAAATTCAAATTAAACTCAATAAAAACTGAGTAATTGTTCAGAAATCTAGAATCAAATATTCAGAAGTAGTAATAAATAAATAAAATATTCAATAATTATTTTTATATAGATTTTATTATGTTTATATGAACATAATGTAAAACAGCGGATTAGTACACCATTCATAGTGAATTAGTAACCGAAAATATTATCTAAAACTATTATTTATTTAAAATTCAAATAAAAGTAAAAATATATCAAATTTTATTTATAATAAAGTTATTTTGAAGAAATTTTGTATATTTTTTTTGAAATTTACTCCATTATTAATTTATTATAATTCTAGTTTTTGCATTTTTGTAATGAATAAACCATTAAGCCTGTAGGCTAAAAACCACGGACGAACGTGCCATTCTAATAACGGAAGGGGAAAGAGGGAGGAGTGGTTTTTGGGTTCGCACGGCCGGCGGCCACGATCCAATAATGTATGTCAGTCATTTGTAGTGCGCCATGCTCGTCCGCATGTTTTCGACACCTTAAATTATACTAGTTTCTATAAAAATCGGTTCGTCATTGTGTTGCCTTAGTATCTGAACTTTCATGCTCAAAATTTATACATCACCATCTAGTCATCTACCCTATCTGAGGTAAAATTAGTTGAAAAAAACCCTTAAAAAGTTACATTTATTTATCAAAATGTATCAATTTTTTTTTCAATCCGTAAATAAACTTTTAATTATAAAAATATGATTTATCGCTTATAATTGGATCATATTTATAAAATAATGAAACTTGATGTAACTATCGTTTCCGATTTTGTGAATAAAATATGAATTACGATACCGCTACTAAATGAATATTGCATGTATTATAAAATTTTTTTCTTCAAAAATTGTTCAAAAATTTGAAGAATACAAGTTTGAAAGCTGGTACACTAATTTTATTAATATGTGATCAAAATCATTGTCTAAAAACTATTGTTTATGTTCTCTTTAAGCATTGTTATAGATTTCTTTTAAAGTCAATATCTTGTAAGAACTATTTGAAAATTATTTGTAAAATAAGGTAAAAATAAAATAACCCTAAATTAGAGCAAAATAATACTGTCATATTAGTAAGTATTGAATAAAGTTTACAGAGCGAATTTTTAAGTTATTCCCAATGAACTATTTGAAACAAAATTTTCATGATGTATATCACCAAAAAAAAACAATTCTTCTACAAAAACTATTCGAGTTTATTTTGTACACTTAATCGAGAAAATTTAAAAAACTGAAAATCCTATGTCCACGAGAGAAGATAAATCTCCAAAATGCCTTTATCTTATAGTGTCCATCATAAATAGTGGTATACACACATTAAACGCTTTTTCTATCGTATTCATTGTCTGATCACATGTAATTCATAATAACAGAAAACACAAACAGTTAAATAACTATGTCTACTGTTGAAATATCAGTCACACAATTAATTTGTTAAATTCACTTTAATTATATTACACGCAGTAAGAAGTTTACCTTCAGAAGACGGTAGCCATATGCAGAATCTATAGTCACCGTTTAGTCCGTTACCATTCACCGGTTATTAATTCTTTTTTTTAAATTGTGACGTTCTTTCTTTAAACTAAATTAAATAGGTGGATAACAAAATTATTTTAAAAAGAATATGTTAAACTTGAAGGATAGGCCACCAGTAGATGACATTGTTACTCATATAATATTTTTTCGTATATGTTTTTTGTTGCATTCCTTTACATATTTTATACAAAACTATACTCAGCATTATGACAAAATAAATAATATGAAATTTTTACTAAATTTGTTTAAAAAATTAAAATATAACATCATATGGAAATCATTTTTAGTTGCTTTTAGTATATATTTTAAATTTTATTTTGTTTGTAGTATGTGAAAAATAATATAATATATTATATTATATTGAGTGTTATAATATTACACTCACTATTTTTTGTAAAACTCTAATTATTAATAATCGTTCAAAAGTTTCCCTCAAAAATACGAAACTATTATACTGCATTACATATAATATAATAATTATATAACAATACATACAACGGTTTGATTAACTTACTTAATTTTTACAGATTTTAACAAATCTTTAATGATTAAAAAGTCCTATCTTTCATAATAATGTCCTTTTAAATTTGTTGATACTAACAAATAGTTACTTTATTTAAAAACTTAGACGTAAATTTGTGTAAGAATATTGACGTTTAAAATGAAGCCATATTTCCTTTTTATTTCAGCTAAAGCTTATTTAACAGAATTATTCCTCACTTGTGGTCAAGTTTTTAATGATTTAATAAAGAAAAACATAATAATTTTATATCAAAATAGTAAAAAAGTTTTTACGATACCATAATGATTTTAGTTTTTTTTTACTTTAGTTATTACATTGGGCCATAACATTAGGCATAACATAGAGGACTCTAATGTTTATATATACTCTAGCATAACAAAACCATTAACATTATTAATCTT